AGGTAGTCCTCAACATACGACCACAACTGAGTCCAAATTTTCTGTGGTTCATGGAGGAAGCCAGATTCACTTAATAACTGCATGGTTCACTTAACAACTGCAATGTTTCAAGATTCGGGTTGACTCAGCCTTCCATCCTTCCGAGATGGGTAAAAGGAGGACCCAGATTGATGGGGGGCTAGAGGCTGACTCTGTAAACTCTTAGACTCTTAGAGAGGGCTGGAAAGCACTGTAAAGTGGTACATATCTAAGAGCTATTGCTATTTTCCTTCCTTCCTTCCTTCCTTCCTTCCTTCCTTCCTTCCTTCCTTCCTTCCATCCATCCATGGTGCGCAGTGGTTAGAATGCAGTATTGCAGGCTAATTCTGCCCACAGCCTGAAGTTCAATCCTGACTGGCTCAAGGTTGACTCAGCCTTCCATCCTTCCGAGGTGGGTAAAATGAGGACCCAGATTGTTGGGGGCAAGAGGCTGACTCCGTAAACCGCTTAGAGAGGGCTGTAAAAGCACTGTGAAGCAGTATATAAGTCTAAGTGCTATTGCTAATTAACTGTGGCCAAAAAAAATGGGCACAACTCACTTAATAACCACCTTGGAATGGAAATTCTGGTCCCAATTGATGTCGTAAGTCGAGGACCACCTGTAATATTTTTTTGGGAGGTCTCAACACAAAAAAAAGAATCTGTTGATTGGGTTTTGCTATGGATGTTGATTGGCTGGAGAGAGCTAGCTTAGCAAACTGTATGACTGGGTCTGTAAGGGGTTAAAATTAACCCCCTTGTTGTATTACTGTAATCTACTAAACCCCCCCCCATGACTCAGTTAAGCATACGGTGGGCACAAACCGTGTGACCTCGCCTCACTTCATTGGCTGCCACAACACGGGATGAATGAAGCACTGGTGATGTAATGCCAGATGTCTCACCACGAGTCTGGTTACAAAGGAGAGCTGGAAAACGTAGAGCATCACTCTTCGTCTGAGTAATGCTGCAGACTTTCTATTCTTCATCTTGTTGTTGTTAGTTGCGAAGTTGTGTCCAACCCATTGCGACCCCATGGACCACATTCCTCCAGGCCTTCCTGTCCTCTACCATCCTCTGGAGTCCATTTAAGCTCAGTGACTCCATCCAGCCACCTCGTTCTCCGCCGTCCCCTTCTTCTTTTGCCCTCCATCTTTCCCAGCATTAGGCTCTTCTCCAGGGAATCCATCCTTCTCATTAGGCGGCCAAAGCATTTGAGTTTCCTCTTCAGGATCTGGCCTTCGAAAGAGCCGTCAGGGTTGATCTCCTCTAGGACCGACCGGTTTGATGGCTTTGCAGTCCAAGGGACTCGCAGGAGTCTTCTCCAGCACCAGAGTTCAAAGGCCTCCATTCTTTGGTGTTCAGCCTTCCTTATGGCCCAACTTTCACAGCCGTACATTGCAACTGGGAAAACCTTCGCCTTGACTATACGGACTTTTGTTGGCAGGGTGATATCTCTGCTTTTTAGAATGCTGTCTAGATTTGCCATAGCTTTCCTCACCAGGAACAAGCCTCTTTTAATTTGGACGGCCTTTATTCATTCTCCTGATGTATTCTCAGTCTGTTCTCCAAGGAACATCTCATGAAGTATAAGATCCCACTGCCATCCCCACGATTTATTTCCATCCCTGCCTTTCTACTTGAAGAAAACATCAATGCAGTAAATGAAGCCTCTAGGAAAGAAAAAACATTTTGAAACCCACCAAAACATAACGATGAAAAGTAAGTTCCATTCAGAATAATGTTAACAGAACAAGAGTGTTGGAAGAGATCTTGGAGGTTTTTTAGTCCAACCCACTGCTCAAGCAGGAGACCCTATGCCATTCCAGACAAGGGGCTGTCCACTCTCTTCTTAAAAGCCTCCAGTGATGGAGCACCTACAACGTCTGAAGGCAAGCCATTCCACAAGTTTATTGTTTGCATTGTTAGAGAATTTCTCCTTAGTTCTAGGTTGCTTCTCTCCTTGATTGGTTTCCACCCATTGCTTCTTGTCCTGTCTTCTTGGTGGTCTGGAAAATAGGTTGACCTCCTCTTCTTTATGGCAGCCATAATCATTAAAAAAATGATTCAGGGACAGGCTTAGGCATGGATTGAATAATTTCCCCTTTCAATCACAGGGTCTCTGGTTTTTAGCCCAGTGCTTCAACTGCTAAGCCAAGCTGGCTGTTTTGCATTTTTAGTGTGAATGTTCCTGAAATTGCAGATCCAAAACGGTTTGCATCTAAATTGCTGTTAATTTCATTTCGGAAGCAATCCAGAGAGTTTCCACAGGCCATACTCCAACTGAGAAGTATTACATAGCTTTTAGGAAAGAAGATGTGACAGGTGGACACATGACATACCGTTTTTCTAAAGGGTCAGTTTGGTGTAGAGGTTAAGGTATCAAAATATGATCATTTGAGCCAAGTCATGCTGGGTTTTGGGCAGCTCTGAAACCATCTCAGGGGCTGCCACAAAGAAAAGGGAATCAACCTATTCTCCGAAGCACCTGAGGGCAGGACAAGAAGCAATGGGTGGAAATTAATCAAGGAGAGAAGCAACTCAGAACTAAGGAGAAATTTCCTGACAGTGAGAACAATTAATCAGTGGAACAACTGGCCTCCAGAAGTTGTGAATGCTCCAACACTGGAAGTTTTTAAGATGATGTTGGATAACCATTTGTCTGAAGTGGTGGAGGGTTTCCTGCCTAAGCAGGGGGTTGGACTAGAAGACCTCCAAGGTCCCTTCCAACTCTGTTATTCTATTCTTCAAAACACCTGAGGGCAGGACAAGAAGCAATGGGTGGAAACTAATCAAGGAGAGAAGCAACTTAGAAATAAGGAGAAATTTCCTGACAGTTAGAACAATGAGTCAGTGGATTAATTGCCTCCAGAAGTTGTGAATGCTCGAACACTAGAAGTTTTTAAAGAAGAGATTGGACCACCATTTGTCTGAATTGGTGGAGGGTTTCCTGCCTGAGCAGGGGGTTGGACTAGAAGACCTCCCAAATCCCTTCCAGCTCTGTTATTCTGCTATGTGCCAAACTGATCACCCTCTCCTCTCCTCTCCCCGCTTCACCCCATCTATAAAATCTGAGTCTCCAAACGCCGCTATCTGTCACTGCAGGAAATGGAAACAGTCCCGTCTCCCAGCCTACGAGCCCCCATGCTGGGAGCGCATTATGCATCCTTTGCCAACGGGCGACAAGTGGCGTAGGAGGACGTGAGCCCCTAATTGGCACCTTTCCTTTGAATTGCGGAGCCCAAAGCTTTCCCCCCACCCTCCGGGGAGGGCAAGGCTCTGTTTTAATCAGCAGGAAGTCATCGTGGGCAGCAATCGCATGGCACACAGCCTCTTCGGTTGCCCTACCACACCGTACATACCACAAGTTGCTGTTGCCCACCCACCCACCCGGATTATAAATGGAGGCAGCCATCCTGGAGAAGCGATGGGCAGGTTAGATAAAACTATGGGCTGTTCCATTCCAAACTGCGGGGGGAAATGGGTGGGAGGGATATATTTGTAAAAGTTTTCCCCTTTACCTATAGAAAGCTAGGACAGCAAGAAGGCTTCTGTTCCAAGCAGTGGAACATAGCAAATGTCAATACTGGTAAGTCCTTGACTTACCGCAGTTCGTTTAGTGTCCGTTCGAAGTTACAATGGCACTGAAAAATGCGACTGATGACCGTGTTTCACACTTAGGACCCTTATAGCAGTTCCATCGCCACATGATTTACAGTCAGATAGCTATAGCAATAGCACTTAGACTTATATACTGCTTCACAGTGCTTTCCAGCCCTCTCTAAGCGGTTTACAGAATCAGCCTCTTATCCCCAACAATCTGGCTCCTCATTTAACCCTGAATTAAAGTTCAGAAACAAGAGACACCAACAAGAAACAAATGTAGCAATGTTGCTTTCCTACAAAGAGCCCAAGAGCCATTGCTGCTCTTTTAAGCCTTCTGGGAGGGGACAATCATCTCCTGGCCTTACTCCTGAGTCGTCCTTTTTGCTTTAGCTGCTCTTGCCTTCTGGCAGCTCTTTGCATGCGTGCACTAGGAACAGGCTCCTCCTGTTCCTCTGCCTCTCTGCTGTCTGCTTCTGGAGGCTCCGGAGTCTGCGCATCGCTCCCAGATGGCCCTGGCCCCATCTCTGCCTCTGACTTGGAGCCCTCGTCTGGACCTTCCCCTGACTCCAGGACTGGCCCATTGTCCTCCCCAGACTCCTCACTGTCCGACTCCTCTGCCAGCTCTGCAGGCTGCTGGCGGACCACAACAACACCTTCAGGACGCACCTGTGGCATGAAAGCATCTATCCAGCAGGTGGTTCTCTTCTATTTCCCAAGCATAGCATACAAATCCATGGGGGGAGGGGGGGAAGGCGAGTCCATCTGGAAATGCCTATTTTGAGAACGGCGCCGGCAAAAAATAGAAAAGTGATTAGTGCTGAAATTAGGACACATTTTTCTCTGTGCTGTTTTTTTTCAGTTCCTGAGGGAAGGAAACAGACTTATGAGCGATTACCTGGGGAAACAGGTTGCTGAATAGAGGCAACTGATTTATCATTCCTCTTCCTTAAGAGCTTAAGGCTGGGAATTTCCTTCATGGATTGATGGGGAAGGTTTAACCTCACTGCTTCTTGGATGCCAAGATGCCAAACTTATGGATAGAACTCATGGATAGAAGAAATTATTACTTTAATACTGAAAGAAGACTCAGATTTAACACAGATAAAGAATTATAGACCCCTATCTCTATTAAATGCAGACTATAAAATATTTACATCAATAATAGCAGAGATTTCTGAATGAATTTATCCACCCTGACCAGAATGGATTTTTACCTAAAAGACAAATTAAGAACAATGTGAGAGTTATTTTAGATACGCTGGAATATTATGAAATACACTCTGATAAACAAATGGTGTTGATATTTTTAGATGCACAGAAAGCATTTGACAATGTAAACTGGCAATTCATGGTACAACAGACTTATGAGTGACTACCTGGGCAAACAGATTGCTGAGTAGAAATAGTTTATCCATCATTCCTCTTCCTTAAGAGCTTAAGGCTGGGATCTTCCTTCAGGGATTGATGTGGAAGGTTTGACCTCACTGCTTCTCAGATGCCAAGAATAAACTTGCAGTCTACAGGATTAAAAAAAAAAAGCATATTTTTTCACCAGGTCTGATGCTCCATTTCTGATGACCCACCAATTCAGTTTTCTTGGTAATGGTCCTAGAAGGAATTCCCCCCCCCCAGTTTCCCAGTCTAGTACAGGTAGTCCTAGACTTACAACAGTTCACGTAGTGGCCATTCGAAATTACGACTGCGCTTTAAAAAGCAATTTATGACCATTTTTCACACTGACGACCATTGCAGCATCCCCATGATCACGTGATGTACATTCGGATGCTGGACCACTGATTCACATTTAGGACGGTTGCAGTGTCCCGGGGTCACGTGACCCTCTGACAAGCAAAGTCAATGGGGGAGCCAGATTCACTTAGTAACTGTGTTCCTAATTTAATGACGGCAGTGGTTCACTTAACAAATGGGACAAGAAAAGTCATAAAATGGGGCAAACCTCACTTAATGCATCTCTCACTCAGCAACATAAATTTTGGGGCTCAGTTGTGAGCCTACATCGAGAAGTACCTGTATACAATTTGGAATTACCTAGTTCTCCCCTACTAAAGTCCCAGCCAGTCCTGTCTCATACCGGGAAACAGCTATCAAATCAACTGTAATCTCTCCAATCTTCATTAGACATAACAGAGTTGGAAGGGACCTTGGAGATCTTCTAGTCCAGGGGTCGGCAACCTTAATCACTCAAAGAACCATTTGGACCTGTTTCCCACAGAAAAGAAAACACCGGGAGCCACAAAACCCTTCCCGTGCCTGACTATTTCTCGAGCGGCCACAAAACTAGCATATGTAGTTGAATTAAACGTTCTGTTTTCTCCTGAAACTTTTCTTTTCTTGGATTTATCCATGGTTGGCCTACCGGGGGTCGAAAAGCTCAATAAATTGTGTGCCGGAGGATGTCGCACATTGGCAGTTGTGGCGCATATTTTGAGCAACAGGGAGCTGCAGGAGAGGGGTGAAAGAGCCACATGCAGCTCCAGAGCCACAGGTTGCTGATCCCTGTTCTAGTCCAACCCCCTGCTCAGTCAGGAAACCCTATACCATGTCAGACAAATGGTTGGCCAATCTCTTCTTACAAACTTCCAGCATTGGAGCATTTACAACTTCTGGAGGCAAGTTGTTGATTGTTCTCACTGTTAGGCAATTTCTCCTTCATTCTAGGTTGCTTCTCTCCTGATTAGTTTCCATGCTTTGCTTCTTGTTCTGCCCTCAGGTGCTTTGAAGAATAGGTGGACCCCCTCTTCTTTGTGGCAACCCCTCAAACATTGGGACACTTCTATCACGTCCCCCTTATCACTAGACTTGACGTACTGGCTTCCTGCAACCGTTCTTCATGTTGTTTCATGACAAAACGAGGCCTGCTCCTATTGGCTTTCATTTAAAATGGCTGCAGAATCCAGATCTTTCCTCTATAACGCTGTGGCCCGTGGTTTGAAAACTGGGATAACAAAGCTTAAGTGTGGATCATTGTCTCCCTCGTCTTCCCCCTCGGGAAAGAAATAGCTTGCTTCTGAATGGCTTTCCCTTCCCGATCAGCTGCTGGCTCATCCTCTGAATTAAAGGAAGGCCCAGGCCTGTTCGTTGGCAGCACGAAAACAGCACGCTTGTCAAATGCGTGTGTCTGAGAGGAATTTCTCCAAGCCAGCCATCTGCATTGGCACGTGATCGCAGGAAGCTTGCAGACAGCCTGGCTTCGCCGTGTCTCAGCCAGAAAGTCCCTGGAGAGGGGAGACCAGCTCTCAAGTTTGGGCTGGTGTGCCTGAGACAAATTGGATGTGACACACAGATTGTGCATGTAGAACATTTCCAGACTGGGTGGAAAGCTTGACCTGACACATGGAAGGACCTTGAAGGGGCCATCAATCCTTAACTGGCAAATTAAAAGGAAGGAGAATATCCAAATCCTGGCCAGGAGGTCCCCAGGAGGTTAAGAAGGCGACGTGGTGGCCAGCTGTTCAACCAGCTGTTTGAGCTGATCTTTAAATAGCAAATTTTATCCGGGCATTGAGCCGAGGCTAGAAATTCTGCCCGTTTCCCTTCCCCTACGAGGTCACATTCGGTCTGGTGAAGCAGCCCTTGCTTTGGAAACGTTTCTGGAGGTTTAAAAAAAATCAGGTTTGATGAAAGTTTCTTAGGAGGGAAGGAAATATTTTTAAATTTCTCGTGTTGGGTGGAAGCTTGTTAAAAAGAGATCCAATCTAGAAGTAAGAATGGAATGGAATGGAAGGGAAGGGAAGGGAAGGGAAGGGAAGGGAAGGGAAGAGAAGAGAAGAGAAGAGAAGAGAAGAGAAGAGAAGAGAAGAGAAGAGAAGAGAAGAGAAGAGAAGAGAAGAGAAGAGAAGAGAAGAGAGAGAAGAGAAGAAGGAAAGAATGGAATGGAATGGAATGGAATAGAATAGAATAGAATAGAATGAATAGAATAGAATAGAATAGAATAGAATAGAATAGAATAGAATAGAATAGAATAGAATAGAATAGAATAGAATAGAATAGAATAGAATAGAAACAGACACTAGAATAGAATAGAATAGAATAGAATAGAAGTTCTTTATTGGCCAAGTGTAATTGGACACACAAGGAATTTGTCTTTGGTGCAGATGCTCTCAGTGTACATAAAAGAAAAGATACATTCATCAGGAATCATAAGGTACAACACTTAATGATAGTCATAGGCTATATAAGGAGAATGTTTATGACAGGGAGAACAATTAATCAGTGGAATAGCTTCATTTTCAGAGTTCTAGGTGCTTCATCACTGGAGGTTTTCAAAAATAGATGACAACCCTTTGATTGGGATATGGTATAAAATCTCCTGCCATGATCAGGGGAGTAGAAGACTTTCGAGGTCTGCAGCAGCAGCCCAAAAAGCCAATGCAATCCTAAATTGCATTAACAGAGGGATACAATCAAGATCAAGTGAGGTTCTAATACCACTCTGTAATGCCTTAGAAAGACCACGCCCTAGAATACTGCATCCAGTTTTGGTCACCACACTATAAAAAAGATGTTGAGACTCTAGAAGAAGTGCAGAAAAGAGCAACCAAGAGGATTAGGGGACTGGAGGCTAAAACATACGATGGACGGTTGCAGGAACTGGGCATGGCTAGTCTAGTGAAGAGAAGGATTAGGGGAGACATGATAGCCGTCTTCCAATATTTGAGGGGCTGCCACAGAGAGGAGAGAGGGTCAAGCTCTCTTCCAAGGCACCTGAAGGCCAGACAAGGAATAATGGATGGAAACAGAACAAGGAGAGATTCAACCTAGAAATAAGAAGGAACTTTCTGACAGTGGGAACAATCAACCGATGGAAGAGAAGTCGCCTTCGGAAGTTGTGGGAGCTTCATCCCTGGAAACTTTCAAGAAGAGACTGGACTGCCATCTGTCAAAAATGGTGTAGGGTCTCCTGCTTGGGCGGGGATTGGACTAGATGACCTCTAAGGTCCCTTCCAACTCTGACAATCTGTCAATCTCTAACTATTTCTTTCTAAATATTTAAAAATTGTTAACTTCCTGCAGGGACGGGGAGGGCTCCTCTTCAATTGCAGATTACCTGTTCTTTTTAAAAAATATGACATTCTACTCAACACAATAGTTGAGTAACGGAGAATGGCTTAAATTACCTGGTTTTTCAGCGGTATTGATCGATGGTTCTTGAAAAATCCAATACACCTTTTAGCTCAACAATAGATTCCCCAGAGAGCAGGCTAATCTTGGTGAAATGTGACAGGGTTTGGAAATAAGAGCACACAGACGAGCTCATCAGAAAGTCAGCAACGTATACACACTCGCTTCAATGCAGCATGTGGGTTTCATAGGTTATAGCAGGTGGCTCTTAGCTGACCTTCAAATAGCTTAGTAGGGTTAGAGTTATGACTTAGATAGGAACTGTCCAGAATTTCCAGGGATAGCTAAACTGGAAAGTTAAACAAAGTCCCAGAAGAAGAACATCGCGAACCATTTCCTATTGTGGCCCGTCAGCGGCCTGTGCAGATTGTAGCTGATTCTGAAAATGAGGAGGCTGGTGTGGTGCTGCTCCAGCAGCCTGTGCAGCTGGCGCTTGAGTCGGACAGTGAGGAGGCTGGAGAAGATGTGGTGCCAGAGGCGGGGATTCCGCCAGGGCCTTCAGAACCTCCAGAAGCTCCCATAAGTGAGGAAGACGAAGAGGAGGAGCCTTTTCTCAATGCACGGGTGCGCAGAACTGCCAAAAGGCAGGAGTAGCTCCTCAGGAGGAGCTCTCCTCGAGAGGAAGGCTTGGGGCTAATTGGCCACTCCCTTAGCCTATTTAAGGAGGAACACCGATTGAAGCAAGCTGTAGGGAACAACTTTAGTTCACTCTCCTTCGTGTCTGCAAAATTGCTTCTGGGCTTTCTGCCAACCCTAGTAAGACTGTGATTACCTTATTTTAGGATTCTTGTAGGCTGTTAAGACAGTTTATTAACAGTCTTTGTTTGAAAAAGACTGAGTTATTTTAGTAAATTAAACTTTGTACAGACTTTGTGTGTGCTGCGTTCTTTGGGGTCCATAGATGGGGCAGAACATTTCCAATTTGTTACCAAGAAAATCATGTGGACCTCAAGCTAAGCACAATTTAGACCCGTGTTTCTCAATGTTGGCAACTCTAAAGACATGTGGACTTCAACTCCCAGAATTCCCCCAGCCAGCCAGGGGGACGAAAACTTGGGGCAGCTCACAACAGCAACACAACCCCCAAAAAAACATTAAAAGCAAAAATCTGGCATGTCAGCCATTATTTTCCAATCCAGCTAACATCACCATCTTTAGTCTTTAACTAGGCACTGGGGGAGGGGGAACAGAATGGAGGGCAGGGTAGGAGGAATCAAAACAATCTTATGCCATCATTTGAACATACAGTAATCCACTGTGGATTACGACGTTACTCAACCTCTGCAATTTTAAGATAGCAATAGCACTTAGACTTATATATTACTTTATAGTGCTTTACAGCCCTCTCTAAGCGGTTACAGAGTCAGCCTCTTACCCCCAACAACCTGTATCCACATTTGATCCACCTCGGAAGGAGGGAAGGCTGAGTCAGCCTTGAGCCAGTCAGGATCGAACTGCTGGCAGTCAGCAGAGTTAGCCTGCAATACTACATTCTAACCATTGGGCACCATGGAAGGAAGGAAGGAAGGAAGGAAGGAAGGAAGGAAGGAAGGAAGGAAGGAAGGAAGGAAATATACCACTTCACAGTGCTTTTACAGCCCTCTCTAAGTGGTTTACAGAGTCAGTCTCTTGCCCCCAACAATCTGGGTCCTCATTTTACCCACCTCGGAAGGATGGAAGGCTGAATCAACCTTGAACTGGTGAGATCCAAACTGCCAGATTGCAGTCAGCCGGCAGTCAGCAGAAATAGCCTGCAGTTACACTGTGCCACCACGGCTGACTGAAGCATGCTGACTGGGGAATTCTGGGAGTTGAAGTCCGCACATCTTAAAGGTGCTGAGATTGAGAACCTCTGGGTTACAGGACAGGTGTGAAAGGTGAGAGGGAACATGTTTAGGGCACAAAGAAAAAGAAAAAGCACTGGGATCGGAAGACAAGTGCCTCGTAAAGTCAAGAGAGCCTATGGTAAAATAGACAGGTGGGTCGAGAGGGACCCAAAAAGTCAAAAGTTTGGTCATGACCCTTTTAAAAAGATGTCACTGCTGACACACAAAACACAAAACCCCTTGCGTAGAGGCTGTTTGTGGAAGAGGTCTGAGCAGTGGTGAGTTTCAAAATTTTTTACTACCGGTTCTGTGGGTGTGGCTTGGTGGGCGTGGCTTGGTGGGTGTGGGAGGGGAAGGATACTCTAAAATCTCCATTTCCTCCCAATCAGCTGGGACTCGGGAGGCAGAGAATAGATGGAGGTGGAGCCAGTCAGAATTTTTACTACCAGTTCTCCGAACTACTCAAAATTTCCGCTACCGGTTCTCCAGAACTGGTCAGAACCTGCTGAAACCCAACTCTGGATCTGAGATAAAATTGCTCATAAAATGCACCTATTTTACGGAGCAGAAATTATCTGTGATTTATTTTGCTAGCGCATAAAGTAAGGCTGTATAGGGAGACGAATGTTGTGGCCCCTCAGCAGCCCTCGGGTGAACTCTCTGTGTAAATCAAAGTAATCTAATGGTTTGTTTTCCTATTTATTGAAGAAACTCCGGTGTTTTTTTTTTTTTCCCGTACCTTACTTGGCTTAAAATGCAAAACAAACTCTTTAGGGCAGTGATGGCGAAGCTTTTCGGCACCGAGTGCCCAAACTGGAATGCGTGTGTATGCGTGTTCATGGGCATGCGCCAGAGCACCGGAAATCTGAAGACTAGCTGGCTGGTGTGCGCATGCCTGTTTTTTTGGCCTTTTTTGGGGGCATTTTCTGGGCTGTTTTTCAGGCCACTTTTTGGACCGTTTTTGGCCCCCCAAAAATGCCCTGAAAAACAGCCTGAAAATGGCGCGAAAAATGGCCTGTTTTTTTAATAATAATAATAATAATAATAATAATAATAATAATAATAATAATAATAATAATAATAATTTTATTTCTATACCGCCCTTCTCCCGAAAGACTCAGGGTGGTGTACAGCCAATTTAAAAACACAGGACACAACAATAATTAATAATTAAAATAATTAAATAGATTTGGCCGATTTAAAACCCCAAAAATTAAAATACCCCAATTTAAAATTATTATGTTGATAGCCCTGCTATATTTTGGCCATTTTCCGGCACTCCAGCACTTTCAAAGACCAGCTGGCCGGCGCACATGTGCACATTTTGAAATCAGAACAGCAGCTGGCGATGGCGCACGTGCTCACAGAGAGGGCTCTGCATGCCACCTCTGGCATGCGTGCCATAGGTTCGCCATCACGGCTTTAGGGCTGAGCACAGTGAGGGACTCCAGCTGAACTCCCATCCGCGAAGAGTTCATGAATTAACTAAGCAGGGATCAATAATTCAAGAACAGTCCTTATCACCCCACGATGACAAGACTTGTAGCCAAATCCTGCTCTTTTTGCTCTGCAATTTTGCTCTGCTGGTCCCAGGGATGGCTGCTTTCTCGTTCATTCAACCGGTGCCGCTTTTGGTTCATTACAGATTTTTTTAAAAGGTAGCAATTTCATGAGTTGGAGACTTGGCTATGGCCCCTTCATGTCATGCTCTTAGCATTAATATGGAACGGCATTTGTTGTTGCTGTTGTTTTTGGCAATTTCCCAGGGAAGGATTCTTCTGAGAAGGGCTGAGTTCAGGATACTGGTCAGTGGTGGGTTCTGTGGGTGTGGCTTGGTGGGCATGGCAGGGGAAGGATACCATAAAATCTCCATTCCCACCCCACTCCAAGGGAACGATACTGCAAAATCCCCATTTCCTCCCGATCAGCTGGGACTTGGGAGGCAGAGAATAGATGCCAGTCAGAATTTTTACTACTGGTTCTCCGAACTACACAAAATTTCCACTACTGCTTCTCCAGAACTGGTCAGAACCTGCTGAAACCCACCTCTGATACTAGTAGTGTAATGATCACGCAATTAAAGGAGAAAGAGGGGAGGGGAGTCTCGGCAAGACAACTGGGGTTTTACCGTTCCAGAGAGGGGCCCAAAAGAAGACACTGGACAGTCCTGAACTGCACGGAGAAGGGAGAAAAAGGTTCAGGGCAGCCACACCCTATACCCGCGATGGCGAACCTATGGCACGCGTGCCAGAAGTGACACACAGAGCCATCTCTCCGGTCACGCATCGCCCATTGCTCTTCTGGGTTCTGGCGTGCTGGCCAGCTGGCCTTCACGTGAGCAGGAGCACCAGAAACTGGAAAAGAAGCCACCCAGCGTGCAGGTGCGCGCCAGGTGGCGGCTCTTCCAGTTTCCGGCATGCATATGCACACCGTCCACCTGGTCTTACAGTTTCTGGTGCACCTGTGGGTGCGAAGACCAGCTGGACAGTGCACATGCGCATGCCAGAAACTGGAAGATCATCTTCCCGGCATGCGCATTTGCACTGGGCGACTGCTCTTCTGGTTTCTGGTGTGCACGCATGCACGCTCCTATTTCAGCACCCGGTGCTGAAAAGGTTCACCAACACTACCCTAGAACTTCCCAGTACATCTGTTATTAGATTAGAAGGTTATAGCTTTAGTCTGGCAAGATTAAAGGTAAAGGTTTCCTGTGTCTAGTCCGACTCTAGGGGGCAGTGCTCATCTCCATTTCCTAGCCGAAGGAGCCAGCATTGTCCGAAGATGCTTCTGTGGTTACGTGACCAGCATGATTATACACCAAGGTACACAGAAGTCTGTTCCTTCCCACCAAAGCTGTACCTGTTTATCTACTCGCATTTGCGTGCTTTCGAACTGCTAGGATGGCAGAAGAGGTTTACGGTAGCCTCATCTTATGATCTCCCAGGCAGGGTATATCTATTAGGTTAGAAGGTGATAGCTTTAGTTTGGCAAGATTCTGTCTGTTGGGTGTAAACCAATAAAAATATTGGACTTGATTGGATTCTACGGTGTCTGACATCTAATGTTTCTCTGTGTTGTGTTCCAGAGTGATCTTGGAAAATGTCGAACCTTGGCAACAGCGATACCAAGCCCCCTTGTCTACCCCGGAATGGACTTGTTAAACTCCCCACCCAGGCCAATGGACTCGGCTCCGCGAGCATCACCAAAGGGACCCCAGCAATGAAAAACCGCTTGTGCCAGTCTTCCGTGCCTGCAATCCTCAGCCCAGCCTTAATGAATCACAGTGACCTGTCCATGCCCGGTCTCACTTCACCATTGTCTTTGGCGGCTCTGGCAGGAGGACCTTCAGGAGCCACCGTGGTGGGACTTCCCACCGACGGGATTTCTCCAGCCAATGGGGACATCCCATCCCTGGAAGACCTCTCTGGCTCCCCCACCAAAAGACATCTGGCCGTGGATGAAAAGATCCTGAACCGTTTATTTATGTACTTTTCGGCCTGTGAGAAATGTGTCCTGGCCCAGGTGTGCAAAGCGTGGAGGAGGGTCTTGTATCAACCCAAATTTTGGGTGGGTCTCACGCCGGTGCTGGACACCAAAGAGCTCTACAATGTCCTGCCCAATGGAGATAAGGAGTTTGTCAACCTTCAAGGTTTCGCCATCCGGGGGTTTGACGGTTTCTGCCTCGTGGGGGTTTCCGACTTGGACATCTGTGAGTTCATCGATAATTACGCCCTCTCCAAAAAAGGGGTGAAATCTATGAGCCTTAAGAGATCGACCATCACGGATGCAGGGCTTGAGGTAGGTCTTCGGCTTCCAGGGTGATGGCTCTGCCTCTGTTGCAGAGTTCAGCCTGGGCTCTCTAGACTGGAGGTAGCTCCTCAACAGTTGTTGCCATTTTGTCCTTTTTTTTAAAAAAAAAAATGGAACTAATGGAGAAAGTTATGGAATAGATGACCATGATCAAAAAAAGCAAGTTGGCATCAAGGAGAATCTGATGAAAGTTCTGCCTCGTTTTTATGTGGCTTACATGCAGGGGTGAAATGCTACTGGTTCACACCGGTTCGGGAAAACCGGTAGTTAAAAAAAGCTACCGGTTCGTCTGAACCGGTATTTCCGACGATCAGCTGTGCCGCGATTTATATTCCCTAGAAAGCAGGAAATCCTGCTCTCTAGCGAATCTAAATCACGCGGCACAGCTGTTCTACTTACCTTCTTAAGCCTTTTTCTGCGCGCAGCGTGCGTTTGGGACACACTGTGCATGCATGCATAGCGTGCGTTTGGGATGCAGTGTGCATGCATGTGTGCAGCGTGCGTTTGGCGTGCACGGCGCATGCGCAGGCAGTGAACTGGTGGCAAACCACGGAGGATTTGACCATTACCTACCTGCAAAATGTGTTGGGACTGCTGGAGGTCTTTCTGCACCAATCCCACCCAGCCCAGCCCACTTTAAAGAGAATCAGATAGGTTTATAGCCCTCTCCACTTTGGAGAAAGGGTCCAAAGGGTCACTGCAATAGGTGTGTAAGGAAAGCTTTTATGTCTCCGGGTGTCTTTGCATAAATCAGATTCACCTGTGGGCTTCCACTAGAGGTGTCTTCTCGCTACCACAAATGCTCGTGTGAATAGCTCCCGAAATAGGGGACATTTAACAGCCTTTAATTCAGAGATTCCAGATGGAATATGCACATTAGATGAAATCTATGGAGATTCTCAGTCATCCAGGTCACGGTTGTCCCAAAGGTGCTTTTTTCAAGAGGCAACTGGACTTTCTGGTTTTTTCTTCGAAGACATTGCACTTCTCATCCAAAAAGCTTCTTCAGTTTGAAAAATCATTTATTTTGAGATAGCATCAAAGCTTGACACTGAAGTAGCTTCTCGGATGAGAAGCAAAACAACATCTTCAAAGAAAAAGCAGAAAGTCCAGTTGCCTCTTGAAAAAGCACCTTTGGGATTATATGAAGTCTGTGCCGTATTGTTACTAGAAATCGGCTCTATGTGTTGCATGGACCATCCCCTCTGCTTTGTCAACCATGGCTTAGTCTCAAGTGGGAACCTAGCCACTATAGCAGTGATGGCTAACCTTTTTGCCATCACGTGCCAGGAGTGGGGTGGGGTTTGCGCGTGCGGATACCCATAATTCTATGTGTCCTGCCCCCGACCCTCCCCCTGCTCCCCTGCTCCTGGCACATGATGGCACGGTAGGACCATTTTTTGCTCTCCCCAGCCTCTAGAGCCTTTCTGGGAGTCTGGGGAGGGTGAAAACAAATCCCCCCCCCGGAGGCCCTCCAGAGGCCGAAACCAGCCCATTGGCCAGTTCCCGTGGGGGCGGGAAGGGCGGTTTTTTGCTCTCCCCGGCTGGAAAGGCCGTTTTTTGCTCTCCCCAGCCTCCAGAACCGTTCTGGGAGTCAGCCTTCCCCACCTCCTGGAGGCCCTCCGGAGGCCGAAAACGGCCCGTTTGCCAACTTCTGGTCCCACCAGAAATTGGCAAATGGTCCGTTTCCGGCCTCCGGAGGGCCTCCGGGGAGGGAGGCTGTTTTTGCCCTCCCCAGACTCCTAGAGAGGCTCTGGAGAGAGTAAAACGGGCCTTCCCCATCACCCCCTGAGGCCCTTGGGAGGCAGGAAACAGCCTGTTCCCTACTTCTGGTGGGCTCAGAAGGCCCGAAAATCAGCTGGCTGGCGCACGCATACACACCAGAGCTGAGCTCACGTGCCCACCGATATGGCTACACGTGCCATCTGTGGTACGCGTGCCATAGGTTCGCCATCACAGCACTATAGATTATTCAGCCAACCACAGTTAAGGTCAACCATGGCTTAGCACAATGTGGGAACTCAGCCAATAAGTCTCGCTTCCAATGGCATCTCACCCATGCAAGATTTTGCAACTTGACTCCACATGCTTTGTGGAGCAGGAAGCCCTGATTTGTTGTACAAAACACCAGATGAATTAGATCCGACTCTGGTTCTTTTTCTGAGGGGTATCCAGCCCTGGTGGATAGGTGGCCTTGTTCCCAAGAAGCCACCATTTCCCATCAGCGCAAGCCAGGGGTGTCTCCACATGCTGCCTAAAGCCCATTGGAACAGATGTCTTTCTGAGATATTTTAGCAGATGAGCCAAGTTGCTATTAGCGAGCAATTATGATTACAGTAATTGGAAAACTTGTCTTTGATCGTTTCCCGTGTCCTGATATAGTAACGGAACTAAAATAGAGTAACAGGGAGGTTTTTTTTTTTAAAAAAAGAACCTTAATCTTAAATCATCATATTGCAGATTATTTCGTTCCCAACTGATTAATCAAGCAAATGGCTCTCGATGACTTTAGCAATTAAAAGTGTTGATTTTTATACTGGTTGAGACTAAAGTAGTACTGTCTGCTTGAGTGAAACATATGATTTTGGCTATATCTGAGAGGAAAGCACGGAAGATTAAACCAGAGGAATTTGGTCTACCAAGCATTTGCAATGATATCACTTGCGCAAGACGAAAATGGCGGATTTGGTATTAGCAGCATCCGGGAGACATAATTTCAGGGGTGAAATCCAGCAGGTTCTGACAGGTTCTGGAGAACCGGTAGCGGAAATTTTGAGCAGTTCGGACAACCGGTAGCAGAAATTTTGAGCAGATCGGAGAACTGGTAGCAGAAATTTTGAGTAGTTTGGAGAACCGGTAGCGGAAATTTTGAGCAGTTTGGAGAACCAGTAGTGGAAATTTTGAGCAGTTCGGAGAACCGGTAGCGGAAATTTTGAGCAGTTTGGAGAACCGGTAGCAGAAATTTTGAGCAGATCGGAGAACTGGTAGTGGAAATTTTGAGTAGTTTGGAGAACCGGCAAATACCATCTCTGGCTGGCCCCAAAGTGGGGAGGGAATGGTGAGTTTGCAATATCCTTCCCCTGGAGTGGGGTGGGAATGGAGATTTTACAGTATCCTTCCCCTGCCACGCCCACCAAGCCATGCCCACCAAGCCACGGCCACAGAACTGGTAGTAAAAAAAGTTGGATTTCACCATTGCATAATTTGTATCATTGGCATGATGAAGAACAAAACACCATTACGGCTTCTTGTATCTTTCCTCTGAAACAAAACTAGATGCAAGAGATGACCAGGCTGAGTGTGAGGAAGGGGTCAAACACGTCATCAGTCTTGAGTCTCTTCGATCCCACAAGAGATCTAAGTCCAGCCCACCTTGAATTCCTTTGACTCTTATCGACCGCCAATTTCCTTTGGCTGTTAGTAGTTCAGATTCTTGTAGAGAGCTTAGCGCTTGCAATAAATCTTTATATCCATTTGAACTCCCTGGATTTCCGGATTTCCCTGGGGCTATAGTAATTTAAACCACAGATATGAACCTTCCCCGACTATGAAGGAACATCAGGAAGATAGGAAGATGCCTCAAATTGAAGCATATGTTATTTAATCTAGGACCGGGAAAATTGTGGTCCTCCAGATGTTGCTGAGATACATCCCCTCAGCATCATTCGCTGTTGGCCATATTGAGTGGGGCTACTGGGAGTTGAAGTTTAGCAATATCCAGAGAGGCATCTGGACCCTCACCAGTGGTGGGATTCTACCGGTTCGGACCAGTTCAGGCGAACCATTAGCTCCAACTTTCAGCCGTGAGCAAACCGATTCTCTTCGCCCGCCCCTGCGTTATACTCACCTATATTTCCATTTCCGAAGCCCAGCTGATCGGCGCGGTAGAGTGGACTGCCACTTCTCAGCTGTTTTTCTTGCCAGCAGCAATGCGGGAGGTGAGTTTTCACCAAACTGCATACGCACATGCAGCAAACCAGTTGTTAAACCAGTAGGATCCCACCCCTGACCCTCGCCCACTCTTTGATTTAGCCAATATTGAGAGCATCCCAGTCATTGGTGGGTTTCAAAATATTTTACTACTGGTTCTGTGGGTGTGGCTTGGTGGGCATGGCAGGGGAAGGATACTGTAAAATTTCCATTCCTTCCCCAATCCAGGAGAAAGATTCTGTAAAATCTCCATTCCCACCCCACTCCAGGGGAAGGATACTGTAAAATCTCCATTCCCTCCCCAATCCAGGGGAAGGTTACTGCAAAATCCCCATTTCCTCCTGATCAGCTGGGACTTGGGAGGCAGAGAATAGATGGGGGCGGGACCAGTCAGAATTTTTACTACCGGTTCTCCGAACTACTCAAAATTTCCGCTACCGGTTCTCCAGAACTGGTCAGAACCTGCTGAAACCCACCTCTGATCCCAGTGGAAATCGGTTGAGAATTCTGCGGCACAAATCTTGTGAAAGAATACTTGCAGAAGTTGTAAAAATGCCATGTTTCTGCTTGGGATATCCACAATATGTTTCACTCCACCTTATGGGACTCTATATGAAGATCAGCAGGCGTTTTTTACACAAGAGGCTAAACTTGATTAATATTAACCTAGCTTAATTTGGGGGAGGCTTAACTTGCAGGCTATTGTACAGATCCGTACTCTTAGATACCATATATTGTGGAAACCGAAAAGCTGGGTTAATTCAGTAGCCAAGTTGAGCTTGTCGCGTGTATTCAGCCCCCGGGTGAATTCCTGCAGTGGTTGACGGCAATGATTCTCTTAACAATCATAATAAAAACACGATCATAACATCAGGTCCAGGCACATGAAGGCCACGTTGCTTAATGACTGCATCACTTAGAACTGAAATCCCAGTCCCAATTGTGGCCGTACGTCGAGGAATACCTCTACAGAAAAATGGCAGTCCGGTTGTTTCTTGAAAGCTTCCAGTGATGAAGCTCCCGCAACTTCTGAAGGCAACTTCTGTTCCATGGGTTGATTGCTCTCACTGTCAGAAAATTCCTCCTTATTTCTGAGGGTAGGACAAGAAGCAACGGGTGGAAACTAATCAAGGAGAGAAGCAACTGAGAACTAAGGAGAAATTTCCTGACAGTTAGAACAATTAATCAGCGGAACAACTTGCTTCCAGAAGTTGTGAATGCTCCAGCACTGGACGTTTTAAAGAAGATGTTGGATAACCATTTGTCTGAGTTTCCTGCGTAAGCAGGGGGTTGGACTAGAAGACCTCCAAGGTCCCTTCCAACTCCTCTCCTCTCCCCTCCCCTCCCCTCCCCTCCCTTCCATTCTATTCTATTCTATGTTGAATCTCTCCTTGGTCAGTTTCCATCCATTATTCCTTGTCTGGCCTTCAGGTGCTTTGGAAAATAGCTTGACCCCCTCCTCTCTGTGGCAGCCCCTCAAGTAGTGGAAGACTGCTATCACGTCCTCCCTGGTCTTTCTCTTCACTAGACTAGCCATGCCCAGTTCCTGCAACCGTTCTTCGTATGTTTTAGCCTCCAGTCCCCTCATCGTTGCTCTTCTCTTCACTCTTTCTACAGTCTCAACATCTTTTTTATAGTCTGGTGACCAAAACTGAATGCAGTATTCTAGGTGTGGTCTTACTAAGGCTTTTATAGAGTGGTATTAGTACCTCCCTTGATCTTGATCGTATCCATCTGTTAATGCAACTTTCAGGTCATGCTGGAACAGATGCAGGGGCTTATGCACCTGGAGCTGTCTGGATGCAACGATTTCACCGAGGCCGGTCTCTGGTCGAGTCTGAATGCCCGCATCTGCTCCCTGAGTGTCAGCGACTGCATTAACGTGGCCGACGATGCCATTGCGGCCATCTCACAGCTGCTGCCCAACTTGACTGAGCTCAATCTTCAGGCCTATCACGTGACGGATACAGCCCTGGCTTACTTCACTGCCAAGCAAGGTTACACCACCCACACTCTCCGCCTGAACTCCTGCTGGGAAATCACCAACCACGGCGTGGTGAACATGGTGCACAGCCTCCCCAACCTGAGCGTGCTCAGCCTCTCCGGCTGCTCGAAGGTAACCGACGACGGCGTGGAGTTGGTAGCAGAGAACCTCCGCAAGCTTCGGAGCTTGGACCTGTCGTGGTGCCCACGAATCACAGATATGGCCCTTGAGTACATCGCTTGCGACCTCCACAAGTTGGAAGAGCTGGTGCTGGATAGGTAAGGTGGGCTCTGAACTTTTCCGATTCCTTTTGCAGGGGACAAGATCAGGGCCTGAGATAAGACATCCCAGGGAATCAGGTACACCAGGGAATAGAAATCTTTGGACAGCTCGGGGTCATCCTTTTGACAGTCTTCAACTGACAGAGCCAAAAAAAAAAAAAAAGCCACAGAGCAGAACCTACAAAGGACATCATCCAAAGAGGCAAAGGGACACTGCACCATGGTGGCGCAGTGGTTAGAGTGCAGTAGTGCAGGCTATTTCTGCTGATCACCGGCTGCCTGCAATTTGGCCGTTCGAATCTCACCAGGCTCAAGGTTAGACTCAGCCTTCCATCCTTCCGAGGTAGGTAAAATGAGGACCCAGATGGTTGGGGGCAGGAAGCGGACTCTGTAAACTGCTTAGAGAGGGCTGCAAAGCACTGTGAAGCGGTATATAAGTCTAAGTACTATTGCTAGTGCTATACAGGGTAGAGAGTGGGACAGACAAGGATGAGGTAAGGCAATGGAAGAACCCATCAGATGGTCCCACGTTAAAGAAACAGAGATCTAATTTGGTCCAAGGTAGCTTCCAATATTCTATCACAGTGATTGGTCACAATTTGCTTGCTCCTCTATGGAACCCCATTGTTCTCCCGCTTTTAACTTTACGGTGGTCCATCTTCATTTCTCTGGCAGGTGTGTACGGATAACAGACACTGGGCTCAGTTACTTGTCCACCATGTCCTCGCTTAGGAACTTATATCTCCGCTGGTGCTGCCAGGTAGGTCAAAGGGGAGCTGGGGTTCTTCTCCTTGTGAGCCTCATCCAGGACAGGGCTTGCAATTTGTAAGGGAGCATTACAAAACTCCGCATTGGCGACAGGAAGGGCATCTGGCCAGTAATCACTCAGCTCCATTCAGTTGCCCAGACTCCACCCTGCAAGGGATGATGGGGTTGTTAAAAGATGATGATTGGAGGACAAAGTTTGATTTTGTGTCTGGAAGTATCTGGAAGCTGTTGGCTGGTTCAAAATGTGGCAGCCCGCAGGGTGTTGTGCAAGTCTAGATTTGCACATGTGTCACCTCACTTGAAGGAGCTGCATTGGTTGCCAATTTGCTCCCTGGTCCAATTCAAGGTGATGGTTGTCACCTTGAAAGGCCAACAAGACCTGGGAGTAAATTGTTTGAAGGACTGTCTTTTCCCAGTCATATCTACCAGAGCAGATGAGAAGGGAGAAGATGTTCTAGATTCCCTTTCTTAAGGAGGTCCATCTAGAGGGACCAAGAAGAAGGGTCTTTTCCATGCTAGCCCCTCTTGTGGAACATCATCGCCGTGGAGATAAAATTGGCCCTCCTCTTGATAGTCTTCCGAAGGGTCCTGGAGACATGATCGGGGTGAGCTTCAAAAATTTTAGCAAGAGGTTCTCTGCCTGGTTGCTGGGTGGGTGTGGCTGTGGTAGGTGTGGTCTAGTCAGCCTCCTGCACCATGGTGTGTGTGTGGGGGGGGGTGTTTTTGCCCTCCCTGGGATCCGGAGGCTTTTTTCAAGCCTCCAGGAGGGCGAAAACGGCCTCCCCAGGCTCCGGAGGCCCTCTGGAGGCTGGAAACAGCTTCCGAACTTCCAGTAGGCCCATTTTTCACCCTCTTTGAGCCTCCGCGTGTGCCCTGCAGTTACCTGCATCCAAAATGGGCTGTGTGGAGACTCCTGGGAGGGGCAGGGCAGAGTGGGCGGGGCCAGCCAGGAGTGGGATTTGGAGGTTCTCCAAACTGCACAGAACCTTAGCTAGAGGTTCTCCCAAACCCCTGCGAACCCCCAGCAGCCCACCCCTGAGACATGGGGACCACAGATGATATGGAGCCCATCAAGTGGTCGGTTTGATTGTAGTGACCACGGGCCTGGGGGGAAATTGGGTTTTGTTTGGGTTTTTTTTTAAAAAAAATTTATAAGCTGCCCGGAGTCACGACGAGTGAGTTGGGAGGCCGTATAGAGGTAGTCTTTGACTAACAACAGTTTGTTTAGTGACCATTCGAAGGTACAATGGCACTGAAAAAAGTGAGTTATGTCCGTTGTTCAGTTACAACCAGAGGTGGGCTTTATATACCCCGTTTCCCCCAAAACAAGACATCCCCTGATAATAAGCCCAATCAGCCTTTTGAGCGCATGGCAATAAGGCCAAGAGTTTATTTCAGGGTTCAAAAAAAATATAAGACAGAGTCTTATTCTTGAGAAAACACAGTAATTTAACAACCGGTTCCTCCCAGCACCGAAACTGAGCTTGCATGCATGAGCGCAGCTTTAAAAATGCAGCTAAATAGGACGGCATAGTGCTGGGGCGAGTGGACGGGCCCAGTGGTGAAATTCATTTTTTTTTTTACTAACGGTTCTGTGGGTGTGGCCTGGTGGGCATGGTGTGGCTTGGTGGGTGTGGCAGGGAAGGGATACTGCAAAATCTCCATTCCCTCCCCACTCCTGGGGGGAAGGATATTGTAAAATCCCCATTCCCTCCCCACTCCTGGGGGGAAGGATATTGTAAAATCTCCATTCCCACTCCACTCTGGGGCCAGCCAGAGGTGCTATTTCCCAGTTCTCTGAACTACTCAAAATTTCTGCTACCGGTTCTCCAGAACCTGCTGAATTTCACCCCTAGGTGGCACCCACAGGTCACAACTACCAGTTCGCCCAATCTGGTACGAACCGGCTGAATCCTACCTGTGGTTACAATCCTTGCAGCATCCCCGTGGTCACATGATCAAAATTCTGACACTTGTCTCATATTTATGATGGTTGCAGTGTCTCGGGGTCACACGATCCCCTTTTGCGACCGAGAGGCAAAAATCAATGGGCAAGCCAAATTCATTTAAGGTCCGTGTTACTAATTTAACAGCTGCAGTGATTCACTTAACAACTGTGGCTAGCAAGGTTGTAAAATAGGGCAAAACTCACCTAACAACTTCCTCAGTCAGCAAACTGAAATTTTGGGCTCAGCGGTGGTCGTTGAGTCGAGGACTACCTGTATATATAGATTTTTTTTTTCCTCCAGAAGTAAGTAAATAAATTTTCTTGGTGTCTCACAATCCCGTCTTCTCCTCCCTTTGTAGGTCCAAGATTTTGGCTTGAAACATCTGCTGGGAATGAGAAGCTTACGCCTCTTGTCACTTGCCGGTGAGTGTTGGATTGGGGTGGATCCTTTCAGATCCGGTGAGACACAGGTCTGCAAGAGAGTTTTGGGACCCTCTGAGGGCCTGAATCTCAAATCACCCAACTTCCTCTAATCTTAGACTAGCTTGTGGTGTGCAACCACTCACCCATAGTGGTGCACGCCGAGCTCAGATGCACAAACTCGGATAGATGCAGGCACTCATACATATGTGCGTATATGCAGATGCGGAGAAGTATGCACCCACACAGAGAGACGTACCAGTGTGCACAGATACGCCCATCAAAAAGGGCCAATAAGAAATAGAATAGTTAAACATTCTCAGAATGGAAGAAGGTCTCCCTTTTTCCTTGCCAAGCAAGCTCTGGTTTTAGTCTTTCCAGCCGAGATATTCTTTCTTATTCTCCGTGCTCTCGGAGTTTGTTTGTTTTCTTGCAGACATTTGCACTGATGCTGCTACCTAGTTGGGTAATGAAATGTCTGCAAGAAAACAAGCAAGCTCTGAGAGCACCAAGGACCCCACAGTTCTCCTCCTCCTTCCCCTTCCCCTTCCCCTCCCCTTCCGCCTCCCTCTTTCACTCCATAAAGCCCGCTCCCTTCTAGCATTGATGATATTACCTAGTTAGGTAATGAAACATCTACAAGAAAACAAACATACAAGCTCGGAGAGCACCAAGGACCCCACATTCCTCCTCCTCCCTCCTCCTCCCCTTCCACTCCACAAAGCTGACTCCCTTCTAGCACTGATGATGTTACGTAGTTGGGTCACAAGATGTCTGTAAGAAAATCCACCAAACTCAGGAAGCACCACGGACCCCATAGTTTCTCCTCCTGCTCCTCCTCCCCTCCTGCTCCTCCTTCCTCTTTCACCCTCCTTCCACTCCACAAAGCTGACTCCCTTCTAGCACTGATGATATTACGCAGTTGGGTCACGAGACGTCTGCAAGAAAACCCACCAAACTCAGAGGGGCCCCAAAGACCTCTCCTTTCAACCCTGAGCTACAAATGTTCTCCTTTTATTAGTTCTTTCTTATTCACGGGGATCTTCTCTGATTTCCCTTTACCAGGCTGCCCTCTGCTGACCACCACGGGACTTTCAGGCCTGGCTCAGCTTCACGACTTGGAAGAACTGGAGCTGACCAATTGCCCCGGTGCGACTCCTGAGCTCTTTAAATACTTTTCCCAGCACCTGCCTAGCTGCATGGTGATTGAGTAAGCCGCTTGCTAGAAACATCTGGCCAAATCCTGGAGTCCTGTTTCTCCAATCCAAACTCAGCACTGACCAACCATCCAGAAGTCAAGTTTTTCTTTATTTCTTCGTCATTGATATATAACTGTATATGGAGGTATATAGATATATATGGATGATTTCTTTCCAGAAGAGGGTGGCGTGACTTGAAAAATCACGCGCTTGAACATGTACACTCAAACGGGGGGGAAAAAAAACAACAACAGTGCGATGAACAAACAGTTGGTCATTCGGCGGATCGGCCGTGGCTCTAAACACAAGCAGAAGAATTGACCCTCGAGTTTGTAAATCCTGACGTCGCCATCATCTTTCATCTTCGTAGGGAGCTGTTTGGAAATCTTACCTTTTGGGGGTAAACAAACAAACAAACAAACCAAGAATAAGGGAAACACACCACGTGCACCGAAAAAAATCCCCCGACAGCAAAACCAAATGAAAAGGGATGATGGAGGTTAAACCAGCCAGAAAAATCCCAGAGGCCGATTAGCCAAGTTGGCAAGCAAGCCGACATCAGTGCTGAATGAAAATGGATTTGCGCCCGTCCGGGCATTTCATGTTACGGGGCAGAGAAAGGTTTGCCTATGAGCCTACCCTGATCTGGGTGTGGTGTGTGTAAGGTAGGATCAAGGTGGGGTCAGCCCTTGCGAAGGCCTTCAAGGTATGGATGTTGGACGGTTGAACCCTGCCCGCGAAAGGCGGGCGAGTTGTTTACATTGGAGGTCGGGGAAGTTGAACAAGTCGTAGAGCCCTCCGGAGAATTCCTCGGAGCCGGATGGGGGCATCGAACAGTGGTTGAAATGGAGACGCTTCCGAATTCCACGCATGGGATGCCGCGGGAAGCGAAAGGACCCTTATATTAAAAAAGGAAAAGTTGGGGGGAGGGGAGAAAGGAGGAGGAAGAAGAAGAAGAAAACTGACCAATGCTGTGAATGAAATGATCCCGGAAATTCATGGAGCTCTTGATTTTAGGGAGCTCCCGGTTCTTGGACGTTCCAGAAAGTGGATCAAAGCTAGAGAGTAAGGAGATCCATTGGAGAAACTGACCTAAACTGTCCCAGCTGACTCGAAGCTCATGCAACGCACGATCCTTGGTGGATCCCATCTGCCTCCTTTCCTTTGTTTTCTTCTCTCCCTCTCCCTCCCTCTCTCTCTTTCTCTTTTTCAATTTGGTTTCGACTTTCTTGATTTTTGCGAATGAATAAGGAGGGGTTTCTCCCCTTTTTTCTCTCTCTCTCTGTCTCTCTCTCACCCTCTCTTTGGAGCAAAACCACAGCCTTTGCATGTTTGGCTTGCTTTGCGTCTTGTGATAAGGTAGAGTCTGAATTCTGCTTTTGGGCTGTGGGTGGCAGTTTTTTGATCCTAGCTTGGCTCGTCTGTTCTGGTGTTTAAAAAAAAAATATAGAAGAAGAAGAAGCTGATGTGGCTTGTTCTACCTTCCTTGTTCCATTTCTCCAAACCACACAGATCCGCACACTAGCTGTCCATCCTGGTCTTCTTCAAGAGGGATGAAAACACCTCCTTTCCATTCCTACCAACCCCAGTTCCACCTTCCATCCTGGGAGACACCCCCCCCTCCCATCAATCACCAGATCCCCTTCTTTCCTTCCTGACTTCACCCCACCAAACCAAGGGGAAGCTGTACCTGTTGGCTCTCTTCCAAGCCAAAATTTGCTGCTGACCAGATGTTTGGTGACTCGTGGCTTTTGCCCCATCCTTTTTTTAAAGAAGCCATTTCCAAGGCCCCCTCCCCGTGGAACAATAAAGGGGGCCTAGGGCATCTCCAGCCTTCAGGCATTCATCCTTCAGACCCAGAGATCTGTTTTGGGGCAGAACCATGCACTGGGAGGGGAGAGGGGAAATTGTGAGAGCTCCAGGCTCTTTAAGCTGTGGGTTCAAGTTGAATTTCCAGCCTTGGGAATCTCTCTAGGATGGCAAGTAAAATCCTCTTCTGTGCTTTTGAAGAGCTGCCAGGCATCTTCATGCAAACCCCAGTAGAGTGCCTGAGTGGTTTTGGTTCGTTTTGGTTCATTTCTTTGTAGCGAGAACCCATTTCCAAGGGTGGGTATATCCACAGCAGAGAAACTGTTCTCACTGGTCCTATCTCCAAGAAGCTATTGGGATGGGCACTGGGTGCTTTCTGCTCTCCAAAGTTGGTAGGATAAAAACCATATCTCTATTTTTGTTGTTTCCCCCCTCCCCCCTACTGCATGGGGCAAGCCATGGAAGCAATGCATTCCCTTCCCCCCAAGATCCAATTCTCTGCATGCTAATATACCTAGAAAGAAGCAGGCATGGCAGTTAATACTAATACTTTCATGTGAGAAGCACCAAAGCACTTCTGTGACGAAAGGATTTGGTGGTGACATCCCCGTTGCCCGGGGGAGGGGATTCCCAGGAGGTTCCTTTCATGTCCCCACAAAGTTACAACTTTGTGGTACCCATTAATGTACTTGCTTACTTTTGGAGCCGCTGGTTTGGTGGGAGCCGGAGTATGTGACAGGCGCTCAACCCACAACAGGTCTCGAACACGAGGCTGCCGATCATCAGCTCGGCATTCTAACCTCAGGAGCCATCGCGCTCCTGGCGTGGTGATTGAACCTATAGAAGCCATGATTTGGTGGAATGTGGTCTCGTAGAAAGTGGGGAAAGCACGGAAGATTGTCTTGAAGGTGGACTTCGAACAATATTGCGTCCGACAAGTCGGAACTAGCCTTGGGCATCAGAATCGCATGTGATCCGAGCTCATTTCTTTTCAGGACCCACAAAAAGGGCAGCCGAGGGGTCCTTGCCGTAGGCTATTGCATGTCATTCTATCTTCTATCTGGAGGAAGAGGAGGGGGAGGAGGTGGCCATCCAGGCAGGCAGGCTGGAGATGACGGAACGGGTAGTTCAACAGGTTTGGAGAAGCCCAGTTAGGAAAATAATTGCCTTTGTGGTTTTTCCCTACCAGATTGTCTGCCTTAGACTGTGGTCGTGAAACAGCCGTCTTGCAAGGCTTCTGGCTTTGAGCAGCCAAAAACCGGCCTAATCGATGTGACAGCTTTGACTTCATGAGTGCCTTTGGTGGCCGCCTCGTTTTTCTTATAGATTTAAATAAAGCCAATAATAATAAAAATAATAATAATAATAATACACCCACCAAACTACCATTGTCCTCCAGTTCTGATCTTGGAGGAAAAGAGAGATGCCATACCGTAAAGCCTGGCCTGAATTCTACCATCTCTTGAGCTCTTCCAGCAGCTGAGTGATGTCCTCTATGTAGCGGACTACAACAACTGTGTAACCATACTATGGCTTCGGAGCAGTGGTGAAATCCAATTTTTTTTTTTACTACTGGTTCTGTGGGTGTGGCTTGGGCGTGGTGTGGCTTGGTGGGCATGGCAGGGGAAGGATACTGCAAAAATCTCCATTCCCACCCCACTCTGGAGCCAGCCAGAGGTGCAGTGGTGGGTTGCCCCGGTTCGCACCGGTTCTATAGAACGGGTAGTAAAAGCGGCGGGAGGCTCCGACCTTGACGTCATCAGAATGCTTCTGCGCATGTGAAGAAGAGCATGTGCGCGGCCCCGTTGAGAACCAGTAGAAAAGATAAGTTAAGTAGATAAGTAGAACCCACCCCTGCAGAGGTGGTATTTGCCGGTTCTCCAAATTCCTCAAAATTTCCGCTACCGGTTCTCCGAACTGCTCAAAATTCCCGCTATCGGTTCTCCAGAACCTGTCAGAACCTGCTGGATTTCACCCCTGCTTCGGAGCCTTCCCAGCACATGCATCTTACCCAGGGCTTCCTCTGTGCCTAGAATTTTGGTGCCAGGGCCATGCAGTTTTGCCAAAATCTGTGGGCTGGTTACCACTCACACCATTTTAATTCTTTTCCCCCAGCAGCCAATCTCGTTTTCTGGGAAGCAAAAAAACCGCACTGATCAGATCAGGTAGATGAACGAAATACAGGTTATCCTCCAGTTACGTCCACAATCAAGCCCAAAATGTACGCGGTTCAGTGAAAAATGTGTTGAGGGAGGTTTTGCCCCACTTTACGAGCTTTCTTGCAACCGTTGTTAAGCGAATTGCCGCATTTAAGTTAGGAGCATGGTTGTTAAGTGAATCTGGCTTCCCCAACAGCTTGTTAGGAGGTCACAAAATGACGCCGGGACAGTGCAATCGTCATAAATATGAGTCAATTGCTAAGCGGCTGGATTTTGATGACGTGACCATGGGGATGCAGCAACGGTCATAAGTGTGAAAACCCAGCCTTAAGTAACTTTTTTCAGGGCCCTTGTAACTTCGAGCGGTCACTAAACGAACTGTTATAAGTCGAGGACTACCTGTAATACAGCCGGATAATAGATACCTTTGGACCTGCTGTTGATTTCTTCAGCTCAGGTCAGCGAGCTGCCTCTTGCAGGAGGCTTTCAAAATTCAGGAGGTTTTGCAGGAGGCTTTCAAAATTCAGGAGGTTTTGCAGGAGGCTTTCAAAATTCAAAAGAAAAATGGCTTTTCTGCATATCTGGGAAAAAAAAACAACCCAAAACCCTTTGCTAAATTCCCATCCAGAAATTATCATAGTTTGGAGAACACTCAGTTAGAATTCCGATCGATATTTTTTTCAAGGCTCTACTTTTTCTTATCAAAATAGTAAAGGTTATGGGTTTTGTTATTTTATGTATGATTTAGGCTGTTACATTACAGTACAGTAATTCAAAGCAAAGGCGGGCCAGTGTCCTGACAATTTGTGATTCAAATGAAACTCTAGGTCAGGGGTCAGCAACCTGCGGCTCTGGAGCCGCATGTGGTTCTTTCACCCCTCTGCTGCAGCTCCCTCTCATGCAAAATATGTTTCACAACCACCAATGTGCGACACCCGCTGGCATGCTATTTATTGAGCTTTTCAACCCCCGGTAGGCCAACCATGGATAAATCCAAGAAAAGAAAAGTTGCAGAAGAAAAAAGAATGTTTAATTCAACTACATATGCTAGTTTTGTGGCCGCTCAAGAAATAGTCAGGCACTGGAAGGGTTTTGTGGCTCCCGGTGTTTTCTTTTCAGTGGGAAACGGGTCCAAATGGCTCTTTGAGTGTTTAAGGTTGACGACTCCTGTTCTAGGTGAATCAAAATGGGATCCTCAGCTGTACAAAATCAGAATTTATTTATTTACTTATTTATTTATTTATTTATTTATTTATGCATGCATGCATGCATGCCACCCATCTCACTGAAAAGGACTCTTTGGCCTACTGGGAATTTGGCTTAACGGGAATGAATTCCCATGGGTTTCAGATTTCCTATTAGAAAAAGTATTTTTAAAAAATATGCTGGCTCACAAGTAGAAACTAGTAGAGCGTAGTTCATAACAAAGAGCCAAAGGAGGCTAGCACCATTGATATGGTATAATTCCAAGAGCAGATTGACTTTGATCTAGATGGATTATCTATTCATTTATTAGGGGACTGGAGGCTAAAACATATGAAGAACGGTTGCAGGAACTGGGCATGTCTTGTTTAATGAAAAGAAGGACTAGGGGAGACATGATAGCAGTCTTCAATATTTCTGCCACAAAGAAGAGGGAGTCAAGCTATTCTCCAAAGCACCTGAGGGCAGGACAAGAAGCAACGGATGGAAACTAATCAAGGAGAGAAGCAATTTAGAACTAAGGAGAAATTTTCTGACAGTTAGAACAATGAATCAATGGAACAACTTGCCTCCAGAAGTTGTGAATGCTCCAACACTGGACTTTTTAAAGAAGATGTTGGATAACCATTTGTCTGAAGTGGTGTAGGGTTTCCTGCCTAAGCAGGGGGTTGGACTAGAAGACCTCCAAGGTCCCTTCCAACTCTGTTATTCTATTCTATTATTCATTCGTCCATAATACGATATATTCAGCCGATGTTTTGATCACATCCCGTAATCTTCTGAGCCAGTTATCTAACCAGAAGAATCAATACTTACCCAAGTCAAATTAGAACTTCATTTCGCAGCAGTCAATTAAATTATTTAGTTTAATATTTCATAAACCCATACTTTAATCAGTATTAATGGCACATTATTAAAATAAACAATTTGCTCTCAGAGCAATCCCCTATCTCTCGAATCCAGAAGTAGTCCAATTGAATTCCATAAGGTTGATTTCTAGGAAAGAAGCTTGGCATCTCTTATAGGACGGGGTCAAAAAAATGTCACAATTGAGGCTAAGCTGCTTTTGATGCTCATCAATTGGTTTGTCGTGGCTACCATCCTAAGGACCCCCCTGAGTAAGGCAGGCCTCCTTACCTGTCCGTTTTCCCAACAGTTTCTAAAATCCCTACCATCACAACCTTGGCTTTTTCTATGTCACCATTAAATGTCTTCTCCAATCTGCAAAGCTCCAGATGTATGGGACTGCAAGGCCAATAATTCCCACCCAATATGTCAGGAATCCAATGGATACTGAGGTCTTAGTGAAAGAAGGTGGCCTGAAACCATTGGAAGAGGAGTTGCCTTCAGAAGTTGTGGGTACTTCATCACTGGAGGCTTTTAAGAAGAGACTGGACAGTCATTTGTCTGAAATGGCATAGGGCCGTGATGGTAAACCTATGGCATGTGTGCCACAGGTGGCACACGGAGCCATATCGGTGGGCGTGTGAGCTCAGCTCTGGAATGTATGTGCGCGCCGGCCAGCTGATTTTTGGGCCTTCTGGACCCACTGGAAGTAGGGAAACAGGCTGTTTCCAGCCTCCAGAGGGCCTGGGGGGTGGGGAAAGCCCATTTTTCACTCTCCCCAGGCTCCTAGAAAGGCTCTGGAGGCTGGGGAGAGCAAAAAACAGGCCTTCCGGTCCCACCGGAAGTCAGCAAACGGGCCATTTCTGGCCTCTGCAGGGCCTCCAGGGGAGGGTGGGGAAGGCCATTTTTGTCCTCCCCAGGCTCCTAGAAAGGCTCTGGAGCCTGGGGAGGGTGAAAAACGGGCCCACCATGCCATTGCCATGGACCCTGGTATAGGGTCTCCTGCTTGAGCAGGGAGCTGGACTAGAAGACCTCCAAGGTCCCTTCCAGCTCTATTTCTATTCTACTGTCCGTTTGTGAAATGCTCCTCGCTAGAGAGCAATGGCCGAGGGATGAAGCATCACTGGCTTTTGAAGAAAAAAAAATGAGATAAATATTGTATGTGAACGATAGATCTAGCATTGGATGTTAGCCATAGTGTAAAAAAAAGACACAAAGAAGATGCTAGAAAGAGTGCAGAGAAGAGCCACAAAGATGAATTGGGGCCTGGAAGCTAAGCCATACGATGAACGTTTGAGAGAATTAGGTACATACAACAAAGAGAAGGACTAGGGGTGATACTATAGCTGTCTTCCAGTACCGGAGGGGTTGTCACAGAGAGGAATGGGGCCAACCTATTCTCCAAAGCACCTGTGGCCAAGACAAGAAGAAATGGATGGAAACTTACAAAGAGGAGATCTAGACTTAGAACTAAGGAGAACTTTCCTGAACATTTGATCAATGGGACAGCTTGCTTCCAAGAGTTGTGAGTGCTCCATCACTGGAGGTTTTCAAGAAGGGGTTGGACAACCATTTGTCCATAATGGTATAGGGTCTCCTGCTTGAGCAGGAGATTGGACTAGAAGACCTCCAAGCTCCTTTCCAATTCTTATTGTTTTATGTTCTAAAGAAATACAGTAGATGGATAGATAAAGATCCACTACTTCTAAATTGGCAGTAGTTGATAAACTGTTATTACCAAATTGCTCTTACCAAGATTCCTAAGACCTAAAAGGGAGTGAAATTAATCTAAAGTTGGCGATGAGATAGGTGGTTTGCACTTAATGTAATGCAATGTTGATAGCAGTCACAATGTGGTACTGTGTTTCCCCGAAAATAAGACCCTGTCTTATATTTTTTAAAACCTTGAAATAAGCGCTTGGCCTTATTGCCATGCGCTCAAAAGCCCGATTGGGCTTATTATCAGGGGATGTCTTATTTTGGGGGAAACAGGGTAATTGAGGTTCTACTTCAGTGTTTCTCAACTTTGGTAGCTTGAAGTCCACCCATCTTCAAGCTTCCAAGGTTGAGAAACACTGTTCTGCCTGTTTCGTTGTCCATCGCACAATCACAAACCAGGGCAAAGTCTCCATTGTAGCATTTCGGGAGTCATTCTTGACTCTTTTTGATCAAATCTTGCAGACACCTCTGTAGGGATGGCTTTCCTACGTAGCTTTCCTAAGTTCATGGTCAGCTCCAAGATCTTTTGGGCCCACCATTGTGCTCCTAAGTGGCTTTCCTTCTTGCATGTTCCTCCAGATCTTTAGAATTTCCTTCCAGGAAATTCTGATTTTCCAGTTGCTTCATCCTTTTCCTAAGTACCCCAAACTGGAATCTCTCATGCTTATCATCTTTACAGGGAAGTGATGGGACCACGTAACTAAATATCCTGCATGGACCATTTGATAAAAATCCAAATAAATGTTCAGAATCATAGAAAGGGGTTTGCGGGAGGCAGGGGTGAGGTTTCAAAGATTATCATGCATGAAGAGCGATGGGGTGAAGGGAGGGTGTGGGGTGGGGGGGAGAAAATTTATTGGTGAATCTTCTACAAAGAGGCCACCGATCTGTCTTCCAATCACATCTTCATTGGGCTAGTTGATTCACGTAATACTTTTGAGGACGGGTCTCTCCATATAAGTCTCCACCGCCACCCAGTCGGTGAAATCCATTTTTTTTTTACTACTGGTTTTATGGGCATGGCTTGATGGGCATGGCAGGGGAGGGATACTGAAAAATCCCCATTCCCTCCCCACTCCTGGGGGAAGGATATTGCCAAGTCTCCATTCCCACCCCACTCTGGGGCCAGCCAGAGGTGGTATTTGCCAGTTCTCCAAACTGCTCAAAATTTCCGTTACTGGTTCTCCAGAACCTGTCAGAACCTGCTGGATTTCACCCCTGCACCCAGTCCAACCCTGATGGGCCTCCTATGTTGGATGGCCAACCTCATATCATTTTAACCAATGCGCTTGGACATGGCCTCTCCTCCGCGGCCGTTTTGAACACACTCACCGACAAATTTCAGTTAACAACTGTGTTTTTTAAAATATATATATATATACCATCACAATTCGTAGAAATGTGATGAAGGTTTTGTTGTCATGGCATCTCTGTAAAGCTTTAAGAAGAAGATGATGATGATGATGATGATGTAGCCAGTTTCAGTGGTGGGTTTCAAATTTTTTTACTACCGGTTCTGTGGATGTGGCTTGGTGGGCATGACAGGGGAAGGATACTGTAAAATCTCCATTCCCTCCCCACTCCAGGGGAAGGTTACTGCAAAATGCTCATTTCCTCCCGATCAGTTGAGACTCGGGAGGCAGAGAATAGATGGAGGCGGGGCCAGTCAGAATTTTTACTACTGGTTCTCCAAACTACTCAATTTTTTTGCTACCGGTTCTCCAGAACTGATCAGAACCTGCTGTTGTAACTTCGGTCACTAAACAAAAGGCTGTTTTAAGTCGAGGACTACCTATATACGACGTAAGGCAGCAGGTTACATGAATAAGAAACATCTGCAGTAGCATCCCCAAAAAAAATGTCCCTTGCCACATGGGTCCCTCTGGGTAAGATGTACGAAAGAATACAGAAGAAAAAGCCATTTGAGCAGAGTGCCTTTTTTGAAAGGGTGCATATTTTTTATTTTCTTCTAAAGGAAAGCAAAAAAACAAACGAACAAACCTAAAATATTTATTTATTTATAGTTATTTGTTTACTGACTCATTTACTGACTTGTTTTGGACCAGAATTTTGTGGGAATTGCTTTCTCTCTCTTGCCTGAGTCCAAATTGTATTATAGAGTCTGTCACACCCAGGCAGGATCACTTCTAGCAGTAAAATGAGAAAGCCTGTGGTTTTCCTGCTTGTTTATTTTATTTTATTTAGGGAATTTATATTGCCGCCTCTTCGCACATGGGCGACTCTCGGCGGCTTACAGAATATATTGTTGTTATTTTCAGTGGCACCTTTTTTTTCCTGGATCGACAATAATGGGATATTTTAGCTTGGGGTTACAATGGGCGAATGAGAGCACAGGAGTGGGATGGTTATGAGCATTGAGATGGGATTTCAAGTGTTCTTGGGAACGGTTTTGTTTTTACTCAGCTGGCCAAACGGATAGACTTTCCGTGAATATTAATAGCATGCTAATGATGACATCGTGTACATATTTATGTAAGAATCTAATTGACTTTCAGATTGATTAGACTGCACGGTCCTGACCTCGTATGGGAGAGGATCATCTGGTCCTTTAAAAAAAATTCTATATATTATCTTCAAGTTGATGTCTCCTCCTCTTAGAAACCACGCAGTGTTTTGGTCGCTCGACCACTTTAAAAGGCGTAGACTTCGGTTCCCAGAATTCCCCAGCTTGACATGCTGGCTGGGGGAATCCTGGGAGTTGAAGTCCACGCCTCTTAAAGTAGCCGAGTTTCAAAAACAAGAGATATCGAGAGATAGGCAAGGTTGCGAAATTAGCAAACTTTTTAAAAAACGGCACTCAACCTCTGCGCTCTTCCCGCGATGATATTAAAGGTGCCCTTTTGTGAATTTTCAAGGTATTACAAGGGGAATGGATTGCGGTTCTCGGCAGAGGTTGTGCAGGTGTTCCGAATTTCTTAGGTTCAACCCTCTGTAGAAAAAGATCACACAAGTCGTGGTGAGAAAGGGCATGCCAAAGATTTCAATTTCCAGATATCCCATTTTGAGCATCCCACAGCTTCTTCCTGTATTCTGGCATGGTTTCAACTTCATTTCAAAGGCGGCCGTGCTTTCCATACGATTGAAACAGCCTTCGAATTTGGACAGTCTGAGCCTCAAAAGAGTTCTCCTGTCTGGAAGCCAGTCGCAGAACGGATCCGAGGGGTGTATGTATTAATGTGTCGTATAAAGCCAGATGCACGTAGTCCTCGACTTATGGCCACGAATTCCGCTGCTAAGGGAAACATTTGTTAAGGGAGTTTCACCCCAATTTACGACTTTTCTTGCCCCGGTTGTAAAGTGAATCATTGCAGTTGTTCAGTTAGTAACACGGTCGTTAACAGAATTTCCTATCAGAAGATCCCAAAAGGGGTGTGTGTGTCACATGACCTCGGGACACTGCAGCCGTCATAAATACGAACCAGTTGCCAAGCATCTGAATTTTAATCACACAACCGCAGGGATGCTCCAATGGCCATAAGTGTGAAACAGTCATAAGTCACTTTTTTTCAGTGCCGTTGTAACTTTGAACGGTCGCTAAATGAACTGTTGTAAGTCGAGGACTACCTGTATTAAGGTTGGGGTTTCCAGTAAGCAATCCAGGGCAAAAGATTTTACCTGCTTTTATTTATTAATATTTATTACATTTTGATATCGCCTATCTCCCTTACAAGGTTGATTCTTGTATCGTATGGCATGCTAGCCAGCAATTTACACTTATTTTACTTGATGGACTGGACGTCCCAGGTAAAGCATGCGGTCTTACACCTGGGGGGATACTGGTAATATACCAGTGTTGCCGCTTGCCCACCTTAGGGTGTTACCTATTTGCAGCCGATCTGGTCAGCCAGCTGCACAAATAGCAACTGCAGCAAGCAAGGATATTAAAATGGCTGGTCCACTTATGCAAAAGTTTCAAAATTTATTCCAGGCACAGCAGCTGTTTAAAAAAAAAAAAATTATTTCCCAAACCTCTAGAGCAAAACTTTAGCGAAAAGAAATTAGGATATCCTGCTGAGATAAAACTTGTGCCTATAAGAAATGGGATCAGGAAACGGTTTTCATAGAAAAGTCACCGGGGGGGGGGCGGGGGGGAGCTGTTGGGAGGATGGAAATTTTTAAATCAAACAAGAGATCCAGTTAAGGAGAAATTTCTTGACAGTGAAAACAATTAACCAGTGGAACGACTTGCCTCCAGAAGTTATGGATGCTCCATCACTGGAGGTTTTCAAGAAGAGACTGGACAGCCATATGTCCAGAATGATATAAGGAGGTTTGACCAGAAGACCCCCAAGCTTTTTTCCAACTCTGTATTAAAGGAAGAGAAGTTGACTTAAAAGTCACCGATTTTCTAAAAGGAAGAATGCACACAGTTCTAGGGAGTGGACTCCATTTTCTGCAAGAGTTCCACCAAGTTCTTGGTCCAAAGACAGGGCACGCAATCCCTCGGAGTTATTTTCATTTTCATTTTATCTTTCTCTGGGCAATTTATCGTGGCCCTAACAGGAATTGCCTTTCGATTTCCACCAGTTTTGAACAAGAGACTTTTGTCGAGAATTGTGCTCCAGACGTCTCTTCGGCACCCCTGTTTAAAGTGTCCACTGGTCCAAAGTATTATTTAAAGCTACTGAAAGAAGCTGTGATATTTCAGATTGCTATTTAGAAATAGAAAAAAAAAGAAAAAAAAGGAGGGGGGAATTCTGAAAACCATTTTCTTATTGTACATACGAGCCTCCTTCTCCTGTATATTCTGAAGATATAATCTTATATTTGGTAAGTGTTTCTTGTGCTATTTTATCATGTGATCTGTTTATAAAAATATATATTAAAAAAAATTTAAAAACACAAAACCATCCGCTGCTGGGGTTCTTTTTATACCTCTGTGGTATATGTGTATTTAATCGCACAGTGTATATGACAATTTTTTTTTTCCAACAGAAATTTCTCATTTGCCTTAGAAGGAATATTTGTTTGTTTGTTTGTTTGTCAACAAGGAAACAAGCAACAGTATAGACATAGACACATGAAAAAAACTGGCACAAATAAAAGGATATAAATAGGCAAAACATAGCCATAAACACATAGAATGATTACATATAAATGGGACAGTAGGACAGGGACGGAAGTTACGCTGGTGCGCTTATGCACGCTCCCTTAGGGACCTCTTAAGAAACATGAAAGGTCCACAGGAGACAGTTTAAGGTAAAACGTCTGGGGATTAGCAAGACTAACAACAGGATCAGGTAGAGTGTTCCTGACATTTGCTACTCTATTGCAGAAGTCATATTTCCTACAATCAAGATTAGAGCAAATTACATTGAGTTTGAATCTATTGTTAGCCCTTGTGTAATTACGGTTGAAATTAAAGTACTCATTTACAGGTAGGACTTTTTGGTAAATAATCTTATGAACTAAGCCTAGGTTAGAACGTAGACGGCATAGTTCGAAGCTATCCAGACCTAAAATTTCAAGCCTGATGGGATAGGGAACTTTATTTCGAGCAGAAGATTTGAGTACTCTTCTAGTAAAATATCTCTTAATGGGTTATGTCTTAATGGGTTTCCTGTTTCACAACGTCCACAGCTGTAGGACCTGTGAACGTCAACTCCCAGAATTCCCCAACCAGCATGGCTAGCTGGGGAATTCTGGGTGTTGATGTTCACAGGTCTTAAAGCTGCAGAGTTGAGAAATACTACTCTAACAAGAGTGGTGAAATTCAAAAATTTTCCCTACTGGTTCTGTGGGCATGGCTTGGTGGGTGTAGCTTTGGTGGTCATGTGACTGGGTGGGCGTGGCTTGGTGGTCATGTGACCGGGAAAACCAACTATCACGCTTTACACAAAAAAAAACCAACACCACAAAAGCTACACAACTGACTCACACACAATGCAAAAGCAGCTGGACTTCACACAAAACGGCCCCTGCAACAAGCAGGAACCTCACAGAGTCACAGAGAGCTCAAAAACAAACTATCACACTTTACACAAAAATACCGGTTCGGGCAATAGGTATTAAAAAAAATGCTTTAAAAAGTAAAAAAAAAAGTTCCGAGGATCGCAGCACAGCTGATTGTCGGAATCTTTTTTAAAAGCATTTTTTACTACCTATTGCCCAAACCAGTAGTAAAAAAATGCTAAAAAAAAAAAGTAAAAAAAAAAAATTCCAAGGTTCAGCTGTGCTGCGCGATCGTTGGAACTTTTTTTTTTTACTTTTTAAAGCATTTTTTTACTACCGGTTCAGGCGAACCGCCCCGAACCGATAGCATTTCACCACTGCTCTAACACAATACAGAAATGAAGAGCACCAAAGAAGAAATCCCTAATATTTAAAGCATCTTTTACATACCAGGAGTGCATTTCTGCAAAAAAAAACCACCGCCCACACAAAATATCGATCTGCAGAAGTGTTCGTAGCTTTTTATCTACTGGGATAGTGGAGTTATAGTTTGGGGTGTTTAAGGACAAACTGGATGTATAGTTTCAGAACAATTCCTATTTTTTTCCCCCGCTCCCAAAATGTTGAACTTTCCATTCAGCCATTTAGAGTACCTTCTTACCATGGTACACAAAATTGGGTGTTGTACATCCTGGCTATAAACTACCGTTTGCACAATTATGTCATTTTCATCTCAGTATTTGTCAGGTGTGAAGAATCAAAACCAAAGGTTACGTTCCAGTTAATCTGATTTATTGCTCGTGCTTATACAGAAGAATCTAGTCAACTAAACATCATAAGAGCCAAGGTGGCGCAGTGGTTAGAATGCAGTACTGCAGGCTACTTCTGCTGCCTGCTGACTGCCAGTAATTCGTCATTTCGATCCTGACCGGCTCAAGATGGATTCAGCCTTCCATCCTTCCGAGGTGGGTAAAATGAGGTCCCAGATTGTTGGGGGCAATAGGCTGACTCTGCAAACTGCTTAGCGAGAGCTGTAAAGCACTGTGAAGCGGCATATAAGTCTAAGTGCTATTGCTATTGCTCACCGGCTTAAGATGGATTCAGCCTTCCATCCTTCCGAGGTCGGTAAAATGAGGACCCAGATTGTTGGGGGCAAGAGGCTGACTCTGCAAACCACTTAGAGAGGGCTGTAAAGCACTGGGCTAAGGGCTATTGCTATCAGCACTAAATTGGCACTAGAAAAGAGTGAATGGGATTCAAGAAGGTTGGACTTGGACCATTTGTGACAATGTAATGATGCCAGGCAGATTCCTCTCTTGACTCCACCCGCAGGCTCTTCCAGTTCTTCTCCCGCAGTATTGGCAAAATAAAAGCTTTGCTGAAATACTATATCAGTGGTGGGTTACCCCCATTTCTGACCAGTTCACAAGAACCGGTAGTAAAACCAGAGGGAGGTGTTGTGACCCAGGCTCAAGTAGTTAGTATTAAATACAAACAGTTCAAAAACAAACAGACTTTATTAGAACAGCTGAGAATTAACTCATTCTCAGCGTAGTCCAAACTAAATTAAAGCAAATTCTGCAAAACACCATTCCTCAGTTTATCTCTGACCTTGGGATCATTAGGCAAACTGCCAAAGGCTTTTCTTGGCAAAAGTTCAGGAATAGAAGAAATAACTACAGCCAAATAAGAAGCAATTGTCTCAACGGTTGTTTTCCGGCAAAGAGGCCAAGAGCCGTTGCTGGTCTTTTAAGCCTTATGGGAGGGGCCAATCATCTCTTGGCCTTACTCCCAAGTCGTCCTCTCTGCTTTATCTGCTCCTGCCTTCTGGCAGCTCTTCTCATACGTGCACTAGGAACAGGCTCCTCCTGGTTTCTCTGCCTCTCTACTGCCAGCCTCTGGAGGCTCCGAAGTCCGCACATCACTCCCCGATGGCCCTGGCCCCATCTCTGGGCCTTCCCCAGCCTCCAGGACTGGCCCATGTTCTTCCTCAGCCTCCTCACTGTCCGACTCTGCTGCCAGCTCCGCAGGCTGCTGGCGGATCACAACAGGAGGCTCCATCCATTGATCCAGATGTCATCATAAGTGATCTGCGCATGCGCAGAAGAGCACGCAGGCGTGATGTGAACCAGTTGTAAAGGTAAGTAGAACCCACCCGATATATAGGTATTAAAAATTATATCACCATATTGGATTCAGGGTTTTTTTAAACCACATTTTTATTACAACAGTGTGATGTTATTGGTTAATGTTTAAAATAGATTCTGTGTGTTGCATCACACTTGTTAAATATCAAACCACAACTTTCTGTTAGTTCTAATTGCCTGACTGACCACTAATGACCACAAACCTAACCACTAATGCAGAGGGAAAGCTAAGCTGGAAGCTTGCTAATTAATGGCGGCTACTCTTAGGGAAAAAAAAATCTTGCTATGTTCAGGAGCCCCAGGGTAAAATATTCATTAATATTCAGACTACTTAATTTCTTCTGCAATCCATACGATTATACATTTATAATTCTTCATTGTATATATCATATAATTCATCAGGAGTTCCAGAAAAGCAGGGATTTTGGGCAAGCCAAAAAATCCACTTTCTGACTGGTTTTGTGCCACAAGATTATTAACAGAAAAAGATTAGCAGGCATTTGTTTGTTATTGTTGTTGTTTTTTTTTTTGCACTGCGTGACAAATTTAATCTTTCTTTGTAATTATTTAACCTGATCTGCAAATTTGGTTCTTTGAGCTTCTCGTTTATTTATTTTAGTGGGCTTCTCTGCTGCTTCAAATGGTCAGCGAATTTTGTGTTTATATGGGTTTAAGATTCAAGAAATTGTTTCTAAGAGTGGCAAATACCTGTAGGAGATTGATTTGTCTGAATCCATAAACTGGGATGGTTCAGTTCTGTTTGTTGTGTGAATGCAGTTCCTGCGCATCCTCAATGGGTCAAGACAAGCTACATCAGAATTTCTCAACTCTGATAACTCTTAATATGTGCCAATTACCCTGCGTTAAGATGAGCAGCCAATAAATTTAATAAAACCATTCCCAGAAATCCCCCCGTTTACAAGCTTTTAATTCTGATTCTAATTCCACACATCTCAAAAACGTTGTCAAGATAGCAAAACATGGGTTTACTGTAAAACATAGTGTGTCTTGTTTGACTTTAGTTCAGCCCAATGCGTAAAACTGGCTATAGACTGGCAGTGGCCACCATAACTTATGGTTGATCACCCATAATTGATTCAATAAAACCAATTTGAGCTGTGTTGGATAAGCATACCCCAAGCATAATTAGCAATTATATGTAATTAAGCGTATACACACACATATACAAATATATTTTGTACCCTATGACTATCATTAAGTGTTGTACCTTATGATTCTTGACGAATGTATCTTTTCTTTCATGTACTCCGAGAGCGTATGCACTAAAGACAAATTCCTTATGTGTCCAATCACACTTGACCAATAAACAATTCTATTCTATTCTATTCTATTCTACTCTACTCCTATTCTATTCTAGTGTCTGTTTCTATTCTATTCTATTCTACCCTACTTCTATTTTATTCTTGTTTCTGTTTCTATTCTATTCTACCCTACTCCTATTCTATCTTGTTTCTATTCTATTCTACTCCTATTCTTGTTTCTGTTTCTGTTTCTGTTTCTATTCTATTCTATTCTACTCTACTCCTATTCTATTCTTGTTTCTGTTTCTATTCTATTCTACCCTACTCCTATTCTATTCTTGCTTGTTTCTGTTCCTATTCTATTACTGTTTCTGTTTCTGTTTCTATTCTATTCTACCCTACTCCTATTCTATTCTTGTTTCTGTTTCTATTCTATTCTACCCTACTCCTATTCTATTCTTGTTTCTGTTTCTGTTTGTTTCTATTCTATTCTATTCTACTCTACTCCTATTCTATTCTTGTTTCTGTTTCTGTTTCTGTTTCTATTCTATTCTATTCTACTCTACTCCTATTCTATTCTTGTTTCTGTTTCTATTCTATTCTACCCTACTCCTATTCTATTCTTGTTTCTATTCTATTCTACTCCTATTCTTGTTTCTGTTTCTGTTTCTATTCTATTCTATTCTACTCTACTCCTATTCTATTCTTGTTTCTGTTTCTATTCTATTCTACCCTACTCCTATTCTATTCTTGCTTGTTTCTGTTCCTATTCTATTACTGTTTCTTGTTTCTGTTTCTATTCTATTCTACCCTACTCCTATTCTATTCTTGCTTGTTTCTGTTCCTATTCTATTACTGTTTCTGTTTCTGTTTCTATTCTATTCTACCCTACTCCTATTCTATTCTTGTTTCTGTTTCTATTCTATTCTACCCTACTCCTATTCTATTCTTGTTTCTGTTTCTGTTTGTTTCTATTCTATTCTATTCTACCCTACTCCTATTCTATTCTTGTTTCTGTTTCTGTTTCTATTCTATTCTATTCTACTCTACTCCTATTCTATTCTTGTTTCTGTTTCTATTCTATTCTACCCTACTCCTATTCTATTCTTGCTTGTTTCTATTCCTATTCTATTACTGTTTCTGTTTCTGTTTCTATTCTATTCTACCCTACTCCTATTCTATTCTTGTTTCTGTTTCTGTTTGTTTCTATTCTATTCTATTCTACTCTACTCCTATTCTTGTTTCTGTTTCGATTCTATTCTATATTCTTATAATTGCATAATTATTGCTGGGCAACTGTGTTATAGGTACTGCCCAGAGTCACAAGCCTGAGATGGGCAGCTATATAAATGTAACAGATAAAAATAATGAAATAAAAACAATGAAATAAAAATAAAATAAAAAATAATACAAAAATAAACTAAAAAATAAAATAAATATTAAAATAAAATATATATAAATATAAACAATGTTTCTGACAACTGCTGCTGCACTACTACCTTTCTACTGGAGTCTTGCAAGAAGAAAGGCAGCGCTTCGACAATTCCAACCAGCTTTCTACGGATCAAACCAACGCAAACTAGAGAAAAGCAGCGTGCGCCCCCCCCCCTCCGCCGCCTCGGGTTCTGCGATGGTATGATCCACCCTGTTCTATAACCTCCCTAGGTCACGTTTCCAGAGCGGAGGGGGAAGAGGAGGAGAAGGAGGAGGAGGAAGGTAGAGCGGCCGTGAAATGACTGCCTCCGGCTTCTTTAACCCCGAAAGGCCTGACGGGTAATCCAAGATGGCGGGCTAGCCTTTGGCCCGAGTTGGGCCGGCCGGGAAAGAGAGTGGCTGCCGCCCGCAGAGAAGCGGCCCGGCGGCTTCGGGCCTGCTCGGTGCGGAAGACCAGTGGAGGCCGTCGCGTGAGGTGAGGAGGAGAGAAGGTCTCCTCGAGGGAAGCGTGGCTGGGACTGAGTTGCGGAGGTTGCTGCCTAGAAAGCCGGAGCTGGAAGTACTCTCTCCCTCCCAACCCCTCCGTCTCGCCCTCGGAAACCCCGTCGAGGTCTTATTTGCTAGACCGCCCGGCACGTGCCTTTGTATTGAAAAAGGACAGTCGCGCATGCGCACAAGCGTGGAGTCATAGCACCCAGCCTTAAAATTTATTTACAATTTATTTAAAACTAAAATATATTTATTTTCGTTTTGGACGGATTTTCACGTCAAAATTGCCCCTATTTCCTCCCTTGCCTTTTTAGCCAGCAGCAATCTTGGCAGGTTATTATTTTCTTTCTTAGGCAGGCACACGAGTTTGTAAGATAAAACACACACATTTGCACACGTGCATTTTAACCTGTTTATTGTTTTTATTTTATTTTTTATTTTATTTTCCTTTTAATTTAGGCAGACAAACGAGTTTTGCATGTCGTTCTCTCTCATCAGCCCAGCCTACCTCACAGGAAGGTTCTGGGGAAAATAGGAAGAGGGAGGAGGATTAGGTTGGCATGTATATATACTAATAAAGTGAAAAAGGTGGGATGAAAATCTAATGAATAAATTTATAAAATACTAGATGGGGAAGATCATCGGTATCCCAAATGTTTGGTGGACTTCATTGCAAAAGCAAAAAAAAACAAAACCCCAAAAACCCAACCCATATAAAATAATTTATATATATGATTCAGTTCAGGTAGGTGGTAATCCCAGCAACTAATAGCAATTTTCTGCCCTTAATTCTTGCTTTTATACACTTTTTTAAAAAAAGACAACCAGTGGTTTGAGGGATTTCCCCCCCCTCCCCAATTCCTTTGTATTGCATAGATTTCTTGGAAATAGTTGAGTGGCATACAGGTGATCCTTGACTTAAAACCATTTGCTTAATGCCCATTTGAAGTTGCAACAGCACTGAAAAAAGTAACTCCTGATCGGTTTTCACTCTTATGACCGTTGACCGTTGCAGCATCCTCCTGGTCGTCACCTGTTCAAAATTCAAACACTTGGCAACTGGCATGTACTTATGACGGTTGCATTGTCCCAGGGTCATGTGATCACCATTAGTAACCCTCCCAGCCGGCTTCCGACAAGTATAGTCAATGACGGAAGCCAGATTTGCTTAAGGACCACATGATTCTCTTAACAACTCCAGCGATTCGCTTAACAACTGGCAAAAAAGGTCGTAAAATTGGGCAAAACTCACTTAAAACAACTACCTTGCTTAGCAACAGAAATGTGGGGCTCAATTGTGGTCGTGTATTGAGGACTACCTGTACGAAGTGTTGAGTTGCAGTTTGCCGCAGATTGCTTTTAATATTGCGATGTTGCTTCATGTTTCAGCTGTTCCTGATTTTGGACAAACCTTTGGATTTGTAGGGCGCCATGGAGAAAATGGCCAGGGTGACTACCGCTCTTGGGGGCAACACGATCACAGGACGGACCATGTGCTGCCACCTGGATGCCCCTTCTAATGCTATCAGCGTGTGCCGGGATGCTGCTCAGGTGGTAGTGGCCGGGCGCAATATTTTCAAGATCTACTCCATCGAAGAGGACCAGTTTGTGGAAAAACTCAACTTGCGTGTCGGCCGCAAACCGTCTCTGAACTTCAGCTGTGCCGACGTGGTGTGGCACCAGATGGATGAGAATTTGCTGGCCACGGCAGCCACGAATGGGGTGGTGGTGACGTGGAACCTTGGGAAACCCTCCCGGAATAAACAGGACCAGCTTTTCATGGAGCACAAGCGGACTGTGAACAAGGTGTGCTTTCATCCTACTGAAGTCTATATGCTCCTTAGTGGGTCTCAGGATGGCTACATGAAGTGCTTCGACCTACGGAAAAAGGATTCGGTCAGTACTTTCTCAGGTAAGGATCCATGTTTGGGAATTGTAGAATAAGATGGGGTGGACAGAAATAGAGCAGGGTGGTGGCCTAGAGATGGACCTCTCGCCTTGCAATCAGGAGGCCGTGAGTTTGATCTTTGGCAGCAGCAGATGTTTATCTCTCTGGGTGCAATGAGTAATTGTCTGCTGTGAACCCAACATAGGCATCAGGAAGGGCATCCGGCCAGTAAACGCTTGAGCTCTGATCAGTCGCACTGACTCCACCCCGATGCAAGGTATTACAGGGTCTTTAAAAGAAGGAAAAAAAACTGAAAAGGACAGAAATGCTTTAAAACGCTCTTGAAAGCAAAATCGTAGACGTTCAGGTGGTATAAACACTGCAAAGTCTTCATTTGAATATTCAAGGGGTTGTCACAGAGAAGAGGGGATCAGCTTATTCTCCAGATAGAGGGCAGGACAAGAAGTAATGGGTAGAAGCTTGTTAAAGAGCGATCCAACCTAGAAGTAAGGAGAAATTTTCTGAGAGAACAATTGATCAATGGAAAGGCTTACCTCCAGATGTTATGGGTGTTCCATTACTATAAGTTTTCAAAAATAGACTGGACCACCATTTGACTGGTATGGTATACTATAAGGCATGGGTGTCATGTTACCATCATTTGATGTTTCACAACGTATTTTCCCTTTGTGGAGCAGGGGTGGGCGGGGCCTGGGTGTGACACATCCAGCCCATGGGTCACCAGGTTGACTCCCCTGGTATAAGGTCTCCTACCTTGAGCAGAGGGTTGGACTAGAAGACCTCTGAGGTCTCTTCTAGCCCTATGATTCTGTGTTCTACGCGTTCTTCCGATGTTTTTATAGCAGATGTAAATGAAACGTACATTAAACTCTTTCTCTAAGGTTAGAATAGAATAGAATAGAATAGAATAGAATAGAATAGAATAGAATAGAATAGAATAGAATAGAATAGAATAGAATAGAATAGAATAGAATAGAATTCTTTATTGGCCAAATGTGATTGGACACACTTGGCCAATAAAGTGTGGTCTTGGTGCATACGCTCTCAGTGTACATAAAAGAAAAGATACATTCGTCAAGAATCATAAGGTACAACACTTAATGATAGTCATAGGGAACAAATAAGCAATCAGGAAACAATATCTATATAAATCTTAAGGATACAAGCAATAATGTTACAGTCATGCAGTTATAAGTGGGAGGAGATGGGTGATGGGAACGATGAGAAGATTAATAGTAGTGTGGGACTTAGTAAATAGTTTGACAGTGTTGAGGGAATGATTTGTTTAGCAGAGTGATGGCGTTGGGGAAAAAACTGTCCTTGTGTCTAGTTGTTCTGGTGTGCAGTGCTCTATAGCGTCGTTTTGAGGGTAGGAGTTGAAACAGTTTATGTCCAGGATGTGAGGGGTCTGTAAATATTTTCCCAGCCCTCTTTTTGACTCGGGCAGTATACAGGTCCTCAATGGAAGGCAGGTTGGTAGCCATTGTTTTTTCTGCAGTTCTAATTATCCTCTGACGTCTGTGTTTGTCTTGTTGGGTTGCAGAACCAAACCAGACAGTTATGGAGGTGCAGATGACAGGCTCAATAATTCCTCTGTAGAATGTTAAGTCATAACATTCATTTTTTAAATAGTTTATCAGTATTACTGATTATCAAATCCATATATCATAATTTCACCATTTTCTAGCCCTTTTGGACATGAGAGAATCTGACCTTGTCATGAGGAGGCTTCACTTCCCATAATCCCCAGCGCCCAGACTGGCTAGGAGTTTATAAGGCGTTGGAGTCTTAACATATTTGGAGCAGCACCAGATTGGGGGGACAGAACCTGTTTTCAGAGGGGAAACATCACCTGGATGGTTTACCAGGTAGAACAGGGCCCTCCAAACTTGGCAACTTTAAGACTTGGCATGGTTGGCTGGGGAATTCTGGGAGTTGACGCCCACAAATCTTAAAAGTTGCCAAGTTTGGAGAACCCTGAGGTAGACGATCAACCCAGTGTGATTTCTGCCTCCTTCAGGTCAGTCGGAAAGCGTGCGCGACGTCCAGTTTAGTATCCGCGACTACTTCACTTTTGCTGCCACCTTTGAAAACGGCAATGTTCAACTGTGGGATATTCGCCGGCCCGACCGCTACGAGAGGATGTTCACAGCCCACAACGGACCTGTGTTCTGTTGTGATTGGCATCCAGAGGACAGGTACGAACACCTGTGTATGCGGATATCTTTTCTGTCTCGGATGCTTTTTCTGTGCCCGCCTTGTTTTCTAGCACCTTCTGACAGAGCCATCTTGGATTCTACTTTCAGAAGCTTGTTCGGTTCCCCTCCACCTCGTGCAACTTCTCTGCAAAGCATTTTGTTTGGAAAGTCATGTTGCCCTTCATATTTTAAGCATCGTTTTGCCCTTTCTGACAGTTTGCAGGTCGTCCTCGACTTACAACCTTTATTGGGATTGGAATTTCCGCCGCAGGTTGTTGCTGGTTGGCTTAGATTTCACGATTTTTAGGCTGGCTGTTAAGTAGATCGACATATTTGTTAAGTAAATCGCACAGATATTAAGCAAATCCTGTTTTGGGATTGCATTTTGGGTGTTCAGCAACCAGCTGACCCTTACAACCATTTGCAGCGTCCTGTGGTCACATAATCACAGTTTGCAATGCTTTTTGCTATGTTTCCAGAGTTTACTTCTGATTTCCAGCAAAAAAAACAAACAAAACCCACTCAATGACCAAAATTGATTACCCTAATAAACGCTGTAAAAAAAGGAGAAAAAAAATTGGGTTTGCTCACATGATGCTTTGATTTATGACCATAGTGACTTATGACTGTAATTCCAGGATCAATGATGGTCATAAATCAAGGACTAAATTACAGATAGTCTTTGACGTATG